TCAGGAAAGATTACAAGTATGGGACAGATATATATGCTTAGTCCTACAGTAGGACAACTAAGCAACAACAACAACAGTAGGACAACTATGCTGGGAACAGAAAAACCATACCTTTGATTCATGATCCAATAGGACTTTCCAAATGAGATAGCTCCCTCCAAGAAGCCTGTGAGCTTACCATTATTTTACCGGCAACCCGTTGGTTTGCTACTGACTAGACAAGGTGACCAGATGTCAGAAGGCTAGCACCTAATGGAACACAATGGTTATGTGGGCCAAATCTATGGCCATGGTTTGCACCAGGCTGGATTGGAAGATGTACTACAAGTTATGCCTGGGTTCATGGCCATAGCACTAAGACTAGTGCCAGTCCTGCTAATCTTCCATATCTAAAACAATGAGGGACAAGATCTGTGTTCCATGGGTATGACCATCTGACATCTATTTTTCTTCCATCAGTAGTTTTAGAAGATGTCATGTGGCACCTTGAGGCCCTTGATAAATACACAATAGCACTCTCAGAATAGCATTACATTATTAAGCACTAAAGTAACTCAATGTGTAAAGCATTTCTACAAAATAGAATGGCAATAGATGTCTTAACAGCAGCATAAGGAGGAACATGTGACATTATTAAAGTAGAATGTTGTGTCCACATTCCAGATGATGACAAAAATATAACAGGATGACTTACTGATATAAATAACCAAATCAGTGCTCTTAAAGACCCTCCATTGTCTTAAAGGTCTTAATGGTTGGTTAAATTCCTGGTCAGGAGGTGGACTGTGGTCCACCCTAAAGGGTCTTCTTATCACACTTCTTATTTTTATTATAATATGAATTCTAATATGTTGCCTCTTTTGCTTTGTTCTCTCCTATTTTTGATATACATGCAAGCAGTTCTTGACTCCTTTGCCCAGCCAATAGATGAGCCTTATTACTCGAACCAATGTCCCCTCTGGACTCTACAGCAGTGGACTTCCATAATAGTTACTTGTAGAGATAGATCAGTCCGTAGGTAAGGACATCTCTACAACCCCTGTCAGCTCATTAAAAAATGAGCCCTTTGTCTTTCAACAAGCTTAAAGATTTAAGGGCCGAAGATTGATCAGGGGGAAATGATGAGGGACAGAAGCAGAAACATGTTCACCTTTAGCCCAAAAGATCACCTATGGTCTGCATAGATTTGGTAAGGATCAAATTCGTGCTGGTTACTGCATTCTTTTTTATTTTTTAAGTTTTTGTTTATTTATTTGACAGAGAGAAAGAGCACAAGCAGTGGGAGCAGCAGGCAGAGGGAGAGGGAGAAGCAGGATCCCCACTGACCGGGGAGTCTGATGAGGGACTCAATCTCAGGACCCTGAGATCATGATCATGACCAACTGAGCCACTCAGACATCCCTGGTTACTACATTCTTAAAGGGTCTCATCACTGCCTGTAAATTTTACCAGGTTAATATTGAACTGAATGATAATCAGCAGAGAATCTTGAGAAGGTAATTTTACAAGTAAAAATTTGAAGACGATACTTACAATCTAATACTCCCTGTGCATCCTCTCCTTCCTGAGCGCTAAGCGTATAAGCACCAGCTTCATACAGCAAAAGTGCAGCTCCTTCTGCCCACGGGTCCTACCCCTGTCCTACTTACCAATGCTTACTCAGCTGCATCATACAGGGTCTCAAGAATTCTTTCTTGGGGCACCTGGCTGACCCAGTAAGTGAGGCACATGACTCCTGATCTCAGGCCTGTGAGTTCAGGCCTCATGCTGGGCATGGAGCCTACTTAAAAAAAAAATTCTTTCTTGACTATCATGCTCAAAGATCCCCCAACATCTTCTCTCCCCTGAGGCCAGAGCCACCATTCAAAGGTCTCTGGAAGCCGAAAGGCTACTTGCTAAAGCTGAGTTCTTCATGTGGCTTACAAGGCACAGCAGAAGCCATACCCCGCCTTCTCCAGTCTCCCCCTCCCATGTCCACAAACAGCCCCATGTTCAGGCTGTCCTAAGCCACTACCACTCCCTTCCCCACTGGTGATTAATCCTCTCTGGAACGCCTGCTCTCACACTTGGTGGTCCCCCAAGCCACTTTCTTTTCTGTAAAGATTTCCCTTACAACTCTGCCACCCCTGCTCAAAAAAGCCTATTGTGCAGGACACGCTTCTAATCCTTGCTGCCACGTTGCATAGCAACCACCTTTGCCATTATTTGTTTCCATGTTTGTTTTTCCTACAAGACTGGGCTCTTTGGTGGTAGGAGTGGTGTTTTATATTGTTCTCATTGCCGGGCACATGGTAGGTGCTTAATGGCTCATGAGTGAATGAATGAAAGATGAAGGAGGGGATGAAGAAGCAACAGAGAAGAAAGGAAGGGATACTCCTGTGTCTGAGGCGAGCCTGTTCTTTCCACAGTGGCTTCTCAAAACAGCACTGCCTCAAAGGAAGAGGTAACAAGCTTACTGAAGGATAGGGTGGGTTAGAGAAAGTCCCATTCTGGAGCTCAAGGCTAGAGAAGAGAGGGACCTCTAGGTGGGGAAAATATTTAAAATGCTCTTTTAATCACATGGATAAAGAATTAGATGAACCAGTCCTCGAAGAAATCCATCTACCTTTTGGTGCTGATTGGGGATAAAGAGGGGGAGATCTGTCCACATCACCACATCAGAAAGTGTATGCTCCACAAAGGTTGATCAAGCAATAGTTTATGTGAAGTGTACTGAGGGTCACCATGGACTCCTCCTGCCACAAATAACTCACCAGCTTGCCACGGAATGGTTGTCTCTGCCTATTGGCCGGACCATCCACCATTTTTGGAGTTAAGCAACAGAGAGAGAGAGAGACGTGGTCTTATTTCTAAGACCGTTGCTTACATGTACATGTCCCTTGAAGGTACTAGAAGAACACTCAATGTCTAAAAAAAATCAAGTAGACTTGATTTCTACCACTAGAACCTTCTAATGGTCTTAGTGAGCATGAGGGCTTATGTCAAAGGGGATGAAGCATGGGATAAGATTTAGTATCAGGAAACAATAACACACGGGAGAAACAAATCTTCAGGGCCCGTGTGAAGGGGAGGTGGGTCACCAGATTAGGAACATACCCGGTGCTTCCATAGACCTTCTGACTTAATCCTTGTGATACACAGGGAAGGCTGATTATTTTATAACAAAATATTTTTATAACAACAGTTAACCTTTATTGAGTATCTAGTATATGTTCACTTTACTTGAATTATCTCATTTGGTCCTCACAACCTTAGTAAGTTTAAAGACAAGAAAGCCAAGACTTAAATAAATTAAATCCATCCAAGGTCAAAAAGTGGTTTAGCTGAGATTTAAACCCAAGTCTGTCTTCATTTTTTAAAAATATTTTATTTATTTATTTGACAGAGAGAGATCACAAGTAGGCAGAGAGGCAGGCAGGCAGCAGGCTCCCTGCTGAACAGAGAGCCTAATGTGGGGCTCGATCCCAGGACCCTTGATCCCAGGACCCTGAGATCATGACCTGAGCTGAAGGCAAAGGCTTTAACCCACTGAGCCACCCAGGTGCCCCTCTGTCTTCATTCTTAATCACTGTACCTCTTACAGCTATGTGAGCCTCAGGGTAGTTATGACTCGCCCAAGACCACACAGCTAATAAATGGCAGACCTGGGGTTTCAATATAGGCCTATGTGCTTACCAGACCTACACAATTTTTAGTCTGTAGTCACTTAACTAGGTGAGGATTGCAGGAGGCTAGAAGACATCTCCAGGGAGAGAATCACAGAAAACATTATATCTTATAACTTTGCCTTCCAGGAACTCAACTGTATAAGGTCTCGGACAATCCGAGAATCTTTCTCTCACCATTCCTGAGCAGTCCATATCCTAGGGAACTCAAAGAGAGCCAGACGTAATTTGACACTGAACTTTATTTGTTCTGACCATCTGAAACGCTGTCCGCACTGCTAGGAAACAGAGACAATGTCCTATGCAGAAGACCAGAGACTTCCCAAGATAAACATTGTGCCCAGGCCACAAGAACAGCCCTGAAGAACAAGTTCTGTGGCTGCTGGTCAACTGCCCGTCAGGTCTCCTCTCCTCTCAGCACAAAACAGGTGCAGATTCTTCAAATGGCCATCAGAGCCACAGCTTGGAGACCAATAACAGACTTTGGTATCCAAAGTCTTGATGACAAAGAAATATACGTTATTCAGTAATTGGTGGAGAATCTAATTCGCTCTACTACCGGTCAGGACCACCTCACCAGGTGACCCAGAGATGGAAATTGGAACTTTCCAGTAAATATCAGGCAAGGGCTGGCAAACTGATTCCACCAGAGAAGCCCTACCAGGAATGACTTCAATGGCTCCAGAAACATTTTCCTAGGAGCTATTTGTGCCACACAACCAATGATAAGCAGATAAGGGCTTGCTCCCCAGAGTCCTCCTGTCACCCACTTTGGCTTCTCCATCAATGCAGACCTGACTAGGGTCTATGGGGTGTTTAGACCCCCATGGAGCTGCTGCTTCCCAAAGCCGGTGAAAGGGCTTCCCACCATCAAGAGGAAATCGTCTCCCTTCTCTCTGGTTTCTAGAAGGTGACCCTAAGAAGGGCTCTTGAGTGTGTGAGACGCAAGAGAAGAGAAAACACTCCCCAGGGTATCCAACTCTGTCCACTGGCCATGACCAAAGCAATGAGACTCTTCTCTGCTATTCCAGCTCTAGCCACCTGGGGGCCCGTGGCTCCGGAGAATCAGGAGCCCTGCCCTGGCTTTGCTCCCACGGAAGGCCTCGAGTTGGGAAACCCATGCCCCGAAGGCCTGGGGCAGCTCCGTTTCACAGGCACCTGAGGGCGGGCCAGGGCACCATGAAGTCTCAGGTTTCAGGGGGATGGCAGTTGCCCGTCTAAAGACTTCTCTGTTCCTTGGAATTGTACAGAATGTCTCTTGTGGCTTTTCCTCCTCCCTCCTTTTTTCCTGTTGACTCTCCCCATCCGGCTCTCTGAATCACCAGACTCCACAGGAAAGCAGCAGATGTTGACTTTACTTTTTGAAGCCAACATCAGCTCCCTTCTGTGGAGTGGGGAGCAGACAGGAAGGTGAGAGGCAGGGAATGGAGGAGGATCTGCCCTCACCCTTTCCAAATGTGAGGGAGGATTGTAGGGGGAATCTAAAAGATACCAGGGAACCTGGGCAAAAAAAATTATTGATTCCTGGGGATAAGGAAAAAGGGGCACCCAACCAAGGCCCCAGGATTGACTGTGGCAGCGGGATCCTGAGAAGGGAAGCACAGAGGGAGAGTGTTTCTGCTTTGGGCGCCAGCCCTTGTCTTCTGAGGTAAGGCCTCATCTCTTGCCAGCAGCATCCTCATGACTCAAAAGTCAAGTCAGGCTGCAGGTCTGGGGAGACAGTCTAGAGGCTCTTCTTGTCCAGCTGAGCCCCCAAACCTCGGCTCTCACTCAAGTCTTTTGGAGAAGCTGCCAAGAGGACTTTCTAGGGCTTTATTCTACATTCATTGCTCTAACTTCTCTTCTCTTTTTTCTTCCTCAGGGATTTTCTTTCGGGCAAAGAACCCAAGCTGTAGAGGAAGAGAGAAGAGTCATCACCCAATGTCCTCCTTGGGGACCTTGCCAAGGGCCCTCAGACATATCTGAAATCTTCACTTTTGTTCTGCTCCCAAAAATGAGATTCTAGTTTATTTTATTTGGCTTAGTTTCATTCAGCCAACATTTGTAGAGTATAGTGGAAGAGATCCGGGCAGAACACCCATAGCCTACTTAGCTGGCCAGCACAAATCCAGTTCTCCCTGCCATATTCCAGGAGCCCTCAACTCACGGGCGTCATGTCCCATACTTACCACCAAAGCTGTGCTTACCTTCCAAAGACAGAAGACAAGGAGAGCAAGCAGGAGCAGCCCTCCCAGGACACTGCCAATGAGGATCCATAGGGAGATGAGGACAGGGCGCGTCTGAATCACCTCCAGCAGACTCTGTATAGGGAGGAGAGCTGTTTGGTACTGATATCCTTTCTCCCAGTTAGCCTCACCTCACATATGAGGGTGAAATAGAAGCCTCGAAATAGAATAAAAAGAAAGCAACTGAGGCAGGAATAAAGGGAGTGGGACCCCAGTGTCCTGATTTATCCCTTCTGACTCCCCAGCTGCTGCCTTATGAGGATATCTCTGTTCTAAAAAAGCCCCCCAGGTGCCCTTGCTGCATTCCCACCCTCACTCTTTCCATGGCTCTCAAACTCAGGATCCTGTCCCACCTCACTCCAACGAGAGGCTTCTGTCAGCTGTAGGACACTGCCCTCCTTAGCTCCCAGCTCAAAGGTGCTGACCACTGTCAGAGACTTGAATTTGGCCTGTGGAAGACATTGAAAATGAGCCATCATAGGTGGTGTGGTCTTAGAACCCCAATAGCAAAGATGAGGCTGGTAGGCATAACTTCCAGCATCTTTTAGACGAGAAGAAAAGGCTGAAGATCAATGGAGAAAGAGAGGAAGGGTAATAGAGGGATGAGCCCCTGGCCCTTCATATATGTGTTTGCCCTACCCAGTATTATTTAGCTCCCCTTTCTTTGGCTAACCCCTGCCCTTTCTTCAAGTTGAAGTTTAGAGTTCATCCTCTCTGGGAATTAGGAAGTGTTTCCTTCTAACCTCCGTCACCCTGGATTAGGTCATAACATTCTGTTTACATCTCTGTCTTTCACCACCGGATTAGAAGATCCTTGAGGTCAGGAGCTCTGTCTCATAAACATCTGTGTCTCTAGTGCCTAGTGCCTAACACACTCTCAAGTACACACTGGTTTCTCAATAAAGCTTTATTGAAAAAATAAATGAATGAATGAAAAAAGGATACCAAAGAGTGATAGAGAACCAGACTTGGAGAAGGATGGTGTCTCAGACTTAACTTTCCCATAAAATATGCCTACATCCCAGGGATCTTGTGCTATTCACAGTAAATCACCACTCATAGCTGTTATAGCTGTTATAATTAATAGCTGTTATAATTAAGATGTCATTTCCCTACTTAGAAACTCACACTGACTCCTGACTGCCTATCACATTGAGTTGAATTTCATCTCCCTAGCTTTGGAGAACTTTCATAACCTAGATCCGTTTCAGCTCTACAATCTTGCCTCCCAGTACCCTCCAATACCTATCATGCACGTAATATCAACTATCCATTCATTCATTTAAGAGACATGTATTGGGCCACTATAATGAGTTAGGCATGGTGCTAAGGGTTGGGGATATTCTCCTCAGTGTCTGCCTAATACAGGTCCTTTTACACAGTAGGCTCTTGATAGATTATTAATAACAAAATATTTTTTATTTAAAATTTTTAAAAACAAAAAAGTAATTAATTAATTAGCTAAATTTTGGTATCCTATAAATGTTGGTTATTGATATAACACAAGGGATGACAAACAGAGGAAAATATAGGGACAATAGCTAGTTTTAATGAATCCATCTCATTATTCATTTATTCTTTACAACCCCATGAAGTAGGTATTATCTTCCCCACTCTAGAGATGGAGAGAAAGAATGAGAGACATTAAATAACTTGCTTAAGGTCCAACAGCTCGTGAGAGACAAAGGTAGAACTTGAACATGAGTCTTTTCCAAAGACTAGGATGAAGTTCCAGGAAGGAGTGGAAGAGAAGAGTGGAAGAAAAGATTTACCCTCCGGAAAAATTCATTGTGAACCAGCCTCAGTAGTCCAACAGAGACCTCAGTCCCCTTTGCCAGTCGCCCAAGATGGCACCTCACGACCTGACAGCGAGTGTTTGTCCCATTCTGCCGGAAGAGAGAACCAGATAAAGATCTTGGGGTGGAAAAATCACCTACTCCCCACTCCCCTGTCCCAAGTCTCTGAAGTCTACCACTCCCTACTGCATTCCCACTCTGGACATCTTCTTCACCTTCTTGTCACTCATACCAGTCTGCTTGTGTGCTGAAACTCCTCTGGGTGCACAGTGGGCCTTGGGGGCTTGGTCAGGTTCTGTACCGTGCAGCTTGCCTACAGGGAGATGCAATCTTTTTTAAAGACTTTATCTATTTATTTGACAGAGAGAGACAGCGAGAGAGGGAACACAAGCAGAGGGAGTGGCAGAGGGAGAAGCAAGGTTCCTGCTGAGCAGAGAGCTGCACACGGGGCTCAATCCCAGGATCCCAGGATCATGACCCGAGCTGAAGACAGACGCTTAATGACTGAGCCACCCAGGCGCTCCTTGAGTGACCCTCTTGATGGTGAGAGGCCAGCCACTCCAGGTTGAGCAGGAGCACACTTCCCACGTATACTCCCCACGTATGCCACATGTGTTAAAGAAAGGTCCCCCAGGGTGAGGGGTCCTGAGAGCAGTGACCCAGCAGATAGAGGGACTGGGGAAATTCACCAGGTTGAGGTGGTAGGGTTCCATACACCCTTAGCCCAGACTTACATTGTTTGTGATGACTTGAGACAATGACAGGAAGTAATTGCCCCCATGGGCTACAGCTGGAAGGAGGGCTGAGATGACCAGGCCACTGACCACATAGCAGCCAAGGTTCTGAACCTATGAGGAGGGTTGGAAATGGGAAGAAGTGGGAGACAGAAGCTCCTTCCTCATCTGTTCCCCTTTCCCCTAGGTGCCACTGGAAAATGAAAAGAGACTCCTCCCCCTCCCCCTGCTTATGCCAAGGTCCCTCCAGCTTCTCACCCTAAGAGTGGTTTTGAATTCGGGACCCACCGGGAGGGTCCCGTATGGGTGAACCTCATAGCGGTGCAGAGTGGACTCACTGCGTGGACACCAAGTCAGAAGAACACAGTCACAGCCATGACACAGACACAGGGGCACATGATCAACCCACAGACATGGATTCACGGAAGGCAGAACCAGCACATGGATAAAGAGATGGTGGTACATAAAGAAGATCGAAATGGGATATGACATGGACTTGGCACAAACTTGATGGCCACATCCCATACCCCTCACCCCACCTGCAATCCCCAGGGCCTAGAGCAAAGCCCTAAACCTAGGATGCATAGGTATAACTATACCTAGGAAAGTAAGTTGCTTAAAAATTTCAACTGGAGTGGGATTGAGGGCAAAAAGATGGAGCAGCCCCAAGGGTTTGGGGGAAACACCAAAACACATGGAAGAAAAGGAAGGAAACTTAGAGTATGAGTCTGGGGTCAGAATGGAGGGCTAGCAGGGAGATGAGCCATACCTGGAGAATAGAAGGTGGGGTTCATATTGAACGTGGGCTGAGGTCTGGGCTGTGTTATCTTGAAGGGTCCCATTTCTCTCCAGGCTATTGCTGTAGGGTTAGAGGGAGAGGCTCACGTCCTAGCCCCCTCTCATATACCCTTTCCCTTCACAAGCCCCAACAGGAGAGGCCTGGGAGGAAGTTCCCTTTGTTCTCACCTGGTGGCAGTCAGCCTCACAAGGACCTGGCTCAGGAGGGAAGAGCAGCTAAACTCAAACTCCAGCAGGAAGGTCACCTGGGGTCATATGGGGTCATGGTCTCTTCCTCTTCATGAGGCCAGCAGGGCACCAGGAGCTCTTGTGTACCCCTTCCCTAAATTCCCAGGCCCTGCAGATTCCGGCCCCTGCTGTCTCAGAGCTGCTCTCTCTTTCTTGTTCTGGGCCCCCACTCACCTTGGCTCCAGTCCGAAAGGCAGGGTGCCCCACACTGCAGAGCCGGACATGGGGAGAAGGGGTGGTGCATTCCACCTTCACAGGGCTGTCCCTCTGAGAGCAGAGGAGTGGGGGTGGTGCCAGAGCTGAGGCTGCAGGGGCTCTCCTGCCTGCAGCCTCCAAACACTGAGCCTTTCTCTGGAGCCCTTCACAGCCCAGGTCAATACCCCAATCTCCATTCTCCTCCCGCCCTGACTCCTCCCAAACCTCCTCTGCCCCAGGCACCTGAGGCATGAAACTGGCCAGGTGGAGGTTTCTAGAGAAGCTGAGACTCAGGCTAGTGTTGTAGGCATTTTCCTTCCTATTCTCCAGGGTTGCTGACACCAACACTTTCTGCCGATCCCCTCGAACCACGAATGGGTCCCTCCTAGGATAAGGGAGAGCCCAGGAGTTGAAAAAGCTGTGAAAAGCATCACTTCTGCTTACCTGGGCAAGAAACAACCCTCTTGCTCCCTTCAAGTTCCTTCCCGTCTGTCTCAGGTCACCCTGGTTGGGCTAGCTCATGTCTGTCTCACCTGGAGCCTTTGATGTCCATATTAGCCCGAAGCACCAGGTCTGTGACACATTCATTGTCAGGGCCACAGTCCTTTGAGAAGGGGACCTAAAGGGGAAAGAAGGGGCTGAGGACTGATAGGAAGGCAAGGAGAAAGGAATGGAATTGGGGCAAAGTGAAAAGAGAAGAGCGGAGGCCCAGGTCAAATTTTGCGGTGCTATCAGGTGTCCACCCTCCATGTCTCTCAAATTCACTGAGAGGGGCAGTGTTGGGACCCAGGGGTGGGGCAGGGCTTGGCACCGCTGACCAGCTTTCTTATGGAGGTGGGTGAGCCTTCATCCAGCACAGGCCCCGGCTTCGTGGTGTTGTCCAATGCAAAGGTCACAGTCAAGGCCAGTGGCCGGAGGTAATCGGAGGTATCCTGAGGAAAACCAGAGTAGAGGATCATGGGGAGCCAGGTTTAGGTGTATAACCCTGGCCCCTGGCACAATGGGATGACTGAGCACCTTCTGTATGCTGGGTACTGTCCTAAGGTATCAATCCCATTATACCGGATTCTAACACAACTCCCTTGACGTAGTTATTATTAGTATCTCCTCCTCTGAGGCCAGGAAGCTGAGGTGTGCAGGCTGTGTGACTTGCCAGAGTTCACAGGCAGTAGAGGGCGGAGCTAGGCTTCAAACCCAGATCAGGCTGACCTTCCTCGCTTTCCCACCTTGGCCTTGGCTTTTGGGCCAGTCCAGCAGGAATTCCTCCTCCAGTCAGCCTTCCCCTGGCTCCCAGGCCCTGTGGCTAACAAAGCATTACCCCCTCCTCACCAGCACGTGGAAGTGCAGCTGCTCACAAGTGACATTTCCCACACTGAGCCGGAGCCGCCGTGGGGACAGTCTCTGGCCAGAGCCGTCAAACACGGCGCGTGCCCCCGCTGTCCACTCATCCAGGGATGCTGTAAAGCGCAGATCTGGATGGGGCAGGTAGGAGCGAGGGTGAAGAGGGGTCCAGGGACCGAGGCAGGCTGGGTTGAGAGGTGCTTAGGATGCTTGGGTCACTCACAGAATTGGTGATCCCAGCGGCCAGGAGTGCGCGAGGTCACTTGGAAACAAAGGGCTGCAGATAGGCAGGCTGCCTCCTGGCCTCGCCGGCTGCAGTCCCTCTGAACCACACTGATGGCTGGCGGGGTCACCTCCAGGGAGGGGGCCAGGTGGACGATGGGCCGGGAGCTGGGAGCAGGGTGGGGAAGAAATGCTAGCCAAGAGGAAAGCCCTTTGAAAAAGGCAGTCCCCAGTATTGGCCTCCCAAAGGTCAAGGACAAGAACGAGGGGCTGGATGTACAGGTGTCACCCTCCCCAGAATCTTCGGGCAGAAAGAGAATAGCTGACATTGAAGAAATGCTTGCCGTACGCTAAGCACCGCGTCAAGATCTTTACCCCACTGGGGCACTGAATCCTCAGAACAAGCCTACGAGGTAGGCACTGTGATTGTTCCCATTTTCAGAACTAGGGAATGGAGGAGCAGAGTAAAGTGGTCAAGAAATCCAAATCTAGGGTGCCTGGGTGGCTCCGTGGGGTAGGTTAAGTGTCTACATTCAGATCAGGGCATCATCCCAGCAGGAAGCCTGCTCCTTCCCCTCCCTCTGCCCCTCCCCTGGGCTTGTGCTCTCCCTTGCTCACTCTCTCTGGCAAATAAATGAAATCTTTAAAAAAAAAAAAAAAGAAAAGAAAAGAAAGAAATCCAAATCTCAGTCTGTGGCTCCCAAGCCCTTGCTTTTCACAGCTTATAGTCCTGGGCTGGGACGGCTCACCTGAGCAGGACGGCTGCCCCCTGCGCCCCCACAGCCACATCTACCAGGTCATCTCCATCCAGATCCAGCCGGCCATCCACACTGCGGCCAAAGTAGCTGAGGGTCTGTGGCATGGAGATGGCAGCAATCCTCTGAGAGGAAGAAAGGAGAAACTGAGCAGGGACACTCACGCCTGGGGACCCAGGCCACACACCTGGCACACAGTAAGGAATAAGAGAATAAGAAGGGGGGGACGCCTGGGTGGCTCAGTTGGTTAAGCATCTGGCTTTGGCTCCAGTCATGGCCCCAAAGTCCTGGTATAGAGCCCTGCATAGGGCTCCCTCAGTGGAGAGTCTGCTTCTTCCTCTGCCTCTCCCCCTCAAATAAATAAAATCTTAAAAGGAGAGAGAGAGAGAATAAGAAGGAATAAGAGAAACTAGCCTGTGTCCAGGACTCCCTAGTACAGCAAACTGTATCCTACCCGACTACTGATAAAAAAAATACTTGTCCATTTTGGGTTGCAAGGTCAGGGAAACACCAATGAACGAGGAGCACACCCCCTACTCCTTCCTTCCACCCACTTCCCTGCTTTATCCGGACACTCCTGACCTGGGCGGGCTGGGGCCTAAGCCCACTCTGGGTGCCATGATACAGGTACAGTGCTCCATGATGCCCATCCTCCAGGGGCGCCCCCACAGCCACATCAGCAAAACCATCTTGGTTCAAATCAGGAAGGGCACCCATGGCAAAGCCAAACCGAGCATCCTGGGGGGGTTCTGGCTGAAGCATTCCCTGGAGTGTTAGCAAGGACTGCTGGTGGAGGGAGAAGACAGAAGATGCTGATCTGGCCTGGTAGTCCCAGCCTCTCAGCCAGCCTGTGAATGGAAGAAACTTCCCTCCCTTCTCCCCTTCACACCCTCCTCTGCAGACAAGTTCAAGGGGGACCCAGCAAGTCTTACCTGACCCACCAGATACACATAAACACGTCCTGTTTCCTTGTTCTGGGGTCCCAGGAACATGGGGGCACCCACAAGTAAGACATCGGTTGTTCCATCCCCATCCGTATCCAATGGGCAGAGCTCACTGCCAAAGTAGGAGCCAATCTGGGGAGCGGTGGGGAGTGGTGACCCCAGAGAAAAGACAAGGTGATTGTGGACAATTGAGAGGTATCTGCCAGCCTGCCCTTCTCATCCTCACATGCCTGACAGACTCTGCCAACCAGAATTCAACAGACTTTTCAGGCTCCTCTCTTAGCCCTTCCCTTTCCTCCCCCACAGCCTGAAGATCCCTCAGGTTCCAAGGGTCCCACCCTCCCTTGGATGCCCTACCTGCTCCCCCTGCAGGCTCTGGGCAACCCTCACAGCCCCATCTTTCTTAAGCTGGAAGGCGATGACCTTTCCTCTATGTCTAAACCGAGGAGCCCCTGAGAGAAAGAGGCGTCGTCCACCCCGCAAAAGCATGGAGGAAACAGAGTAACCTAGAAGTGGGCAAGGAATCGGGGTGAAAGAGTAAAAAGATGGGGTCAGAGTAGGAGGGTTCCCTAAAGGCACAGGAGGAGGTCCCAAGGAAATTAGCAGATGGGTGACACACTGCTCTCATACCCCCCACTGGTGAAACATTTCCTCCTCACCCCCTCATCACCTGCAACCCTCCGCTACTCACCCAAGTAGGCTGCGTGGTTTTGCAAAGCAGGGGGGAACTCATCTTCCAGGGCTGTCCGTGGGGGAAAAAGGCGGTGACCATCTTCAAGCCATAACACGGAGCCCCCCCAGTCATAGGCCCCCACCATTCCAAAGAGAATCCCATCCTGTTGGGCAGAAACAGATGGGGACTCTTGAAAAGACAACAGGAAATGAGGAGTAAAAACCCCAGGAGTGAGAAGTCACTAAGAGTATGCTGGGATCTGTTGGAAAGGCATGGAAGGGTCAGCATGGACACTGGTTAAAGGAGAAATCTAGAAGAGCCCTGGGGTGAAGTTGCCTGAGTCTCAGGTTGGGAGGAGTCAGATGTTGAGAGGGGTCACAGCAGGGTCAGAGTCTGTCCAACCTTCAGCCGATGAGTAGAGAAACCAATCTGAGACATTTCCAGGCCAAAAGAGCTTTCATTTTCTCCATGGGACCCTTGAGCATGAGAAAACATCAAGGCAGTATCAGGGAAGACATCTCCTCTGACTTACTGAACTCACCACAGAACCCCACCTACACCCAGCCTGCCCCCTCCCTGTCCCTCATTTCTCCAGGGTAGTCATTACCCTCAAGGCCAAAAATCCGGTCTCCCAGTGCATCTACAATGTCAGTCAGTGCAGCTTCATCGGTGACATTGAAGAAGAATCTCTCATCTGGGTCACTGGCGATCGTCCTGATTTCCCACAGGAAAGAGGTGGGGTCTCGCTGTCTCCGGAGGTAGTGGCCAAGGACCTGGGGACAGGAGATCCAGGTGGGGTCAGTTAGCTATGCGGAGGGAGATGTCAGAGCTGGCCCAAGAATGCAGTCAAAGTGAAGGAAGGGAAAGATGGCTGATCTTTGGGAAGTGCTTACTGCCCATCTTCTTCAAGTTCCCAGTCCTCAGTGTCACCACCCCCCTCCATCCCACCAGGTCCAGAGGACATTCTCACCGCGATCCCATAGCGGGTCACTCTTCTAGCCTCACAGGCCTTTAGTGCTGTAGGAAGCTCCTCCCCATCATGCGATTCTCCATCGGTGACAACCACCAGCAGCCGGGCAGCCTCTGGTCGACCCCCACGGGACGGACTGAATCCTTCTGTGCTGAGAAGAGAGAGAAAGTAGTGAGGTGTGATCACGTGTATGCAAACACACACACACACACACACACACACACACACACACAGTCAGCAGTCACTGAAGTCCGGCATCGCCTTTTAGTCCATCTCCCTGACAGTGTCCGGCAAGGGGACTGGCATACAGTAAGGACTAAAACGTTTGAATGACATAGAACATATAGAGCGGCATATCCTCCACGCAAATAAGTACAAAATCCATTTACTCGTAGGCTCATTCAGCAACTATTCCATTGGAGAGAGGACACACTCAGAGAGTATGAATCATATTTGGCAAGCAGGATAGGACATGAGTGGTGGAGAACCCAAAGGCAGGGAGTGCAGGGATAGGGAGAGTTCCGGCTACAGTGATAAATAAATCAGAAACATGGAAAGACACAAACATAGACACTTTGAAGAATGTGATGAGATGTGCTGTACTCCAGACCCTCCCCTAACCCTTCCAGGCCCTCCTCACTCTGGCCTCCCAGGCTCCCCTTCCCAGTGCCTCACCAGGCCACCAGGATTGCTTGGGCAGTCTTTGTTTCTCGTCCCTCTCGTCGACTCAGGTTCCTCGCTGCCCTCACCACTTCTTCCTTGGTTCGGAAATCTCCCAGGGACCACTCATGCACAGGGCTCTCTCCATATTGTACAAGTCCCACCTGAAAACAATGTGCGCCCTCACATGGAATGCATATTCTGAGGGAGAAGACAGTATGTGAGGGCAGGGAGAGGGGCATTTGGATACTCCCAAAGACACTGCCTACATTCACCTCCACTCCTCCCCCATCCCTGCCATCTCTCCCCCTACAAGGCCATCCATATTGCCATCTCTTACCTGTATCTGCTCTGGGTCAATAAACAGTCTCCCTACCAGTCTTCGCAGGAAAGTCTGAACTTCAGACCAGGGGTAGATGCTGTTGGAGCCATCCAAGACGATGACAACATCCATGTAGGTGGGACAGCCTAGGAGGAAGGGGTTGCGATGAGGACCAGAGGGGTAGAAAGATATTGGGCATGGGGACAACAAGGGAAGAGGTCACAGGAGTGTACATTCCATTCAAACACGTTTTAGGCACTTCTGAACATGCAAGGAAGGTAGTGTGCTAGGCCCTGGGTCAATGTAGAAATGAGTAAAAGAGGAGACAGGCATGCATACAATTTACTAGAAGAAGAAAGAGAAGAAGTAGGAGAAGAGGGAGAAGAAGAGGAAGAAGAAGGAGAAGAAAGGAGGAGGAGGAGGAATTAAGGGCTAGGTAAAAACAGGGCACCACCAATACTGTAGGACAACAGAGGGTCAGTTCTGATGGTAGGGAGTCAAAGGAGGTGGCAACAGAAGACATTGGAGGAGAGGAGAATATAAGAAAAGGCATTTGCATGGAGAACACTTTAAACAAAAGGACAGGAGGTATAAAATAGATAACAAGGGGAGAATGGGGAGGGAAATGCCATGGCCAAGGCACAGTGTGTGGAAGGATACGGTGAGAGTTGAGTTTTTGAAGTTGGTTAGATCTGTTCATGGAGTCTTGATGCCCTGGCAAAGAGTCTGAATTCTAATCTTTTAGGAAACATGGAACCTTAGGAAACAATGAGGAAAGCTACGCAGGCCCCCTGTCCAGCATCATACTCTGTTGCCCCAGCTTTTTCCCACCCTGCACCCGGTTCTGGGACTGAGTCCTCAGGCCCTTCTTCTGCTTACGTTGTGCGGTGGGTGCCAGGCTTCCCTGGGGCCGGAATGAAGCATCTACACGGGCACATATCCCAGAACTGAAGACAGAGGAGCCACAAGCACGGGACCAGAGAGGGGCACAAGCCTGGGGGGTGTGGGGGGAGTATTACCCCCAGGGCTTGGGAGCACACTCTCAGCACTGCCCCTAGGAACCAGGAGGCACTGGAACCACCCCCTGGGGTTCCCCTCCTTGCTTTCTAGGGTTTTAAACTTCTTGACCTTGACCCTCCCCATGGATCAGATTCCCTTACCATGCTGCTCTTTTCTCTGCCAAAATCCTTCAGAGACCCCCACCACCACCCTTCCCTTAGCTCACCATGAATCCCCCATCATTGTCTGTCTCTAGTAGAGACATTCCCAGGTGCATATTCATAGCAGGATGAGATGAATTTCCCAGTGGATAGTCACCTGGTTGGATGGGGATGGAAGAGAATGAGATCATGGGGTCCCCTATGAGGTTCTTGAATTTCGGGCAATTTGGAAAGAGGATGAGATCAGGATCAAGTCAAAGACAAGGGAGTGTGTAGGATATGGAGGTGAATATGAGGTGGCTACTAGCCTATCAGGTTAGGGGTTAGGAGGGGAAGAGTGAGGCATCTTCTTACCCAAGTGGCCTTTGGAACATGGAGCACTGTGGGAACCTCCTACAGGGCAGCGATAAACATCACCCCTTCTGTCACCTGAAGGCCCATCCCAGGGGGCACCTACCAGCATCCTGGAGGAGGACATGAGTATAAGCATTTTGTGAACATGACCTTTGAGACAGGCCGGAGGGAAAATGTGTAAGGGTAGCAAGCCAATTCCAAAAGACCAGAGTCATTTAGATTCCCATCTGCCTTGCCTTCCCTTTAAGAGCTCTACCACAGTCCAATCCCACGGCCCTCTGGTTTCCTTCTCACCATCGACGTCCACCCCCGACATGTTGTAAGACGCTATATCCGAATTCAGCCTCAGGTGGCCCTGGGAATAGGCGTGGGTGATGCACATCCAGATTAAAGGGGGAGCACAGACCTGAGGGGCAGGGTCATAGGATAGGAGGATGTGGTCAGAGAGGCTAATAAATACTGGGAGAGGTACAACCAGAAAGGAAACACAGAGGGAACATTTTGATCTCAGTCTATCTCCCCATTTCTTACACAGATACTCAGAGCTCCAAGCAAGGATGATCTCCTTCCTGTGTTTGGGTCCAGATGTCTAACCTGTGGCCCTCTGCCATGCTGGTGCACAGCTGTATTTCCATTCCCATCCCTGAAATCTCATTCACAGACATGTCTGGAAGGGTCAGGTTCCTCTTTTCCACATCATTCCTCCTACACATCCTCCCCCAGAAGCTGCAAGAGTCAAAGAGGGAGAGGGCCTTTCTGCAGCCCAGAACTACTGTTCCTTCCAGATTCTCCCCAAACTTGGGAACTCAGGGACGACAAGAGGAGCCTAGTGAGTACTGCTGGTCTCTCCTCTTTCTGTCTCTTCAGGACTCCCAGTGTCATTTTCATACTCTCAATCTCTTTCTCCACTGTCTAGTTCCCTGCATGATTCCAGCCCTGAAAACCTGACTGGTCATTCACTGGGTGGGGCCACTCTCCTGCCCACACACATGGTTTGCCAACCATCCTTACCAAGGGTCCCATCACCCCAAAGTTTCCCACAGCCCACTTCTTTTTTAACTTATCCACCCTCCCAACTGCCCCCTGCTTACCTGACTTTCTTCCTTAACTTTTAGCCCACCCTAAAGATATCCTGTACTCTTGTCCTAGCTGATTCTCTCCCTGTCCCCACTCACACCAATCCCTTTAAAATCAGAGCTGGAATGGGATACCTGGCAGGCTCAGTCAGTACAGCATGCTATCCTTAACCTCAGGGTTATGAGTTCAAGCCCCATGTTGGGCATAGAATTTACTTAAAAATAAAATTTAAAAAAATTTTTTAAAGATTTTATTTATTTGACAGAGAGAGAAATCACAAGTAGGCAGAGAGGCAGGCAGAGGAGAGGGGGGAGGAAGTAGGCTCCCTGCTGAGCAGAGAGCCTGATGCGGGGCTCGATCCCAGGACCCTGGGATCATGACCTGAGCCAAAGGCAGAGGCTTTAACCCACTGAGCCACCCAGGCGTCCCAAAAATAAAATAAAATTTAAAAAATGTAAAGAGGGTTGCCTGGGTGGCTCAGTGTGTTAAGCGTCTGCCTTTGGTTCAGGTCATGATCTTGGGGTCCTGGGATCGAGCCCTGCACAGGGCTCTCTGCTCAGCAAGGAGCCTACTTCTCCCCCTGTCTCTGCCTGCCTCTCTGCCTGCTTGTGATCTCTCTGTGTCAAATAAATAAATAAAATCTTTTAAAAAAATGTAAAGAAATCAGAGCTGGTATTTTAGGAAACAAAGATTATAGGGCACTGGTGAGGAAAAATTCCAAGCCTCTCGTCCCTCCCATGGTTCTTCCCTGCCCTGCTCTCTCCTTTCAAGCAACTAGCTCTCAGGCCACCCCCACCACCATGGCTATAAGCTCTGTCTCAAACCACATTCCTCTTCAGAAAGGTGTTTTCTATGTGAGTCTTTTTGCATCCAGGAAACTGGCAGGGCTGTATGACTAGCAACCGTAGCTCATTGGTTAGATAAACTGAGTTCTCACCAGAGTTAGTTATGCCTCGGGCTCCAGAGACCACCAAGGGTAGAAGGAAGTTGGGAGGAGAATAGGAATCAGACTAGCCACGTGGAAGGTCACATCATACTTCCTTTTGGTCCACTCACTCCTCCAGAGCTTAGGATAAAGATTTTAGATAATGGGATACAAATCTAACGCAACGACCTGCCAGTCTCATTCCCGAAGCACTCATATGTGCGGGCATAAGAATGAAAACTTGCACAAACACACAAACATGCACACACACACACACACACGACCCACAGAATCAAGTGTTAACTTATCACCTAACTCCAAAGATTTTAACCTTGAAGTTCCCAATGCCAAACCACCCATAGACCTTCCTTCCCCACCAGGAACCAAGTTAACCTTCCTCACCTGTCAGGAACATCACTGGCAAAAGCAGGTGAGGGATGAGGGCGAGTTCCATGCCTGTCTGTTCTCTGTCCGAGTGAGAAGTCCTCTGTGCCTCTGTCCCTCTCCTTTTCTGTTTTCTTTACTTTCCCTCCCATCCTGCCCCCTCCCACTGGCAGCTAAAAATAAAATGGGAGGAGTGATGGTGGGAACTCCCGGGAGCCCCAGACCAAGGAAAGAAAGACTGAGCGATCTTAGCTAATTTCTCTGCTCTGGTGCTGCCCCCTGGAGGCATCATCTCAATATCCAAAGAGCACAAGTCTTGACTTCTGCAGTTTCTTTCTCTTCCTTTTTTTCTATCCTTTGTTGTCTGTTGCTGGGCAGTTAATGCTTTCCTCAGGTTTGGAATAGACAGTAGGCGTGGGAGACAGAGACTTTTTACTTCTTAACCTTATTTATCTCACCTTGGGATATGGAAAATGAAAGAGCTGGCGACAGTGATATCATTTCCCCTCCCATCCAGGGGAGTCCCAACATGTGAACACAGCCAGCCCAGAAACCAAACCTTGCCAGTTGTACTTCACTTAGTTCTGTCTGTGACTCAGACTCTGAGGCCTTGTGGCATTATAGCTTTTGGAGGCACTAGAAATTATGAACTGGTATGGGGTGTGGGTTGTGGAACCAGTATAATTACTTTAATATTAGACCCCATATTCTTAAGTAGGCTATAAACTTCTAAAGTTGGGACCGTGGAGCTTCTTAGCTCTTTGTATCTCTACCTCTTCAGTATATACACTGCATAGTGTAGGTGTTCAAAAAAAGTCTCTGGGTGATGATATTAGTGGCTAATCCCACGGAACACCCACACCACAGTAACAGGAATTAGAGACTTCAGATGACCAGAACACACAGGACCAGACCAGATACTGATGAGCAAACTGATCTTTAATATGCTGACCTGGAAGGCTTGCTCTCCATTGTGGGCACGGCCACAGCTATTTACACAGAATCACTGTACAATATTTACAGCAAGATGCTAGACAGAGCATCCTTCTGGATAGGCGAAGAAGGGGTGACAAGAGGCTAGGGAACAAAGCCCTGAAATAAAAGTGTAAGCAGAAATCTGCAGGTGTGAGTAGAGGGAAGGGCCAAGTCATGAGGGAGGCTGGTGAGGTAGACATGAAGGAGGAAGTATCAAACAGTCTCTGGTGCATGAGGGGAGAATCCACTGGGACATAAAGTCTCTAGAATTATGATTTGGTGGCATCTGAAGGGGGTAAAATCTGCCACAAGCAGCCTTTGTGAGAAAAAAGAAGGCAGTTAGAACCTTACAGACCTTCTACCTCCCCTACCAAAGAAAGTAATTCTGCTGATCAAATTCCTGGGACAGCAAACTGAGAAGGTGGGAAAAAAAAATGCAGAGACAGAATCTTATATAGACTTAAGAAACACAAAGTAAAAAGGGTCAAAAGAGACATAGACATTGCAATGAAGGAGGAAAAAGCAAAAGCTCCAGAATGTCTGAACATTAGAATCATCCCATTGACTTCACAAGTTACCTTTCTTCACCTCACCTTCCCCAAAGCTCCTCCCTCTACTCCCCAAATCTTGGCATTTCAACTTTAACAAAGGAGTAGAATTAAAATGAGGCTGGTACGCTGGGGATGATCTTAGACTCCGTCTTACCAATTCAGATCCCCTCCTCATCCTGTACCAGAATATCAGGGCTTGAGTCGTAGCCAAGGGCAGATTAGAGTAAGAATAGACAGGATGGAGGACACAAGGCCACAAAGCCCCACAATCCCAGGGCCACAGCGCCAGAGGCCTAGTTTGTCCAGTGGAATGAAAAGATCACAGGCATTTCTGACCACATCCAGCAGAAGTGGGGGATGACCTCGAAGGACCCGAGCCAAGAGCAGGACTTGGAGCTGAAGCTTGAGAGCCAGCTGAGGCAAGCTTCCTCCTGGAGTTCCTGGACTCCCAGGTCCTGCAGTTTCAACTCCTCCTGGGACTCCTCCCCCAGAACCCTTCAGTCGCCGGCTACAAGCTGAAGACTCTTGCTCCATTAGTAGGCGAATCTCGTAAGCATCACGGCTCAAATTCATGATGAGGGAAAACAGATAGTACCTGAGATAAACAGGCCAGAAGAGTCAGTAAGGGCACATATAACCACTTGGCATATCAAACAGAAGGCTTAAACATTTCCCCCCCACAGCACAGAGTAAGTACAGAGGAATTATGCATAAGAACACCAGCAGTAAGTGCTACTGTCCACTACCCCAGCTTTCTGTAACTAATCTGTGTTTACATGTACCTTAAGATCCTGGCTTAAAGTCAGAAGCATAATCAAACCTTCCAAGAAAACCCTTAAATTTCAGTCGTCCACTTGGCAACCCATCAGCCACACACACTCAACCTGAACTATAATAATGCAAATGTTTTCAGAGAACAAGCTTCAGCTGTTTCAGAGACCCAGACACATTATGGATCTTTTAAATCCCATACTTTTGTTAAAACAAACAAACAAAAACAAAAAGCGAGGCCCAAAATGTTAAGCAACTTGCTAAATGTGTTAGATTTATCAATTCCTTAAAAACAGTTTATGTTTGGGGCTCCTGGTTGGCTCAGTCAGTAAAGTTACTCTTCATCTTGGGGTTGTGAGTTTGAGCCCCACGTTGGGTGTAGAGATTACCTAAAAAACAAACAAACAGGGACACCTGGCCAGCAGCTCAGTTGGTTAAACGTTTGCCCTTGGCTCAGGTAATGATCCCAGCGTCCTGGGATGGAGTTCCCCTCCCCCCCAGCCCACACCAACTTGCTCAGCAGGGAGCCTGCTTCTCCATCTCCCTCTACCTGCCACTCCTCCTGCTTGTGTGCTCTATGACAAATAAATAAGTAAATCTTAAACAAACAAACAGGGACACCTGGGTGGCTCAGTCAGTTAAGTGTCCAACACTTGGTCTCAGTTTAGGTCTTAATCTAGGTTCAGGCCCCCCTACATTGTGCTCTGCGCTGGGCATGGAACCTTCTTAAAAAACAAGCAAATGAACCAATGAACAGTTTTGGTTTGTTTTTTTTAAGATTTCATTTATTTATTTTAGAGAGAGAGCATGAGTGAGGAGGGGCAGCGGGAAAGGGAGAACGAATCTGAAGCAGACTCCCACTGAGCACAGAGCCCAAGGTGGGGAGTGAAGGGGGCTCATGAGATCCCACGACCAACCGAACAACCATGAGATCGTGACCTGACCAGAAGCCAAGAGTTCAATGCTCAAATGACTGAGCCACCCAGGCACCCCAACGGTCCATGTTTTTTTTAAATCCACTCTGACAATAGTGGTCTGTACTCAATATAATTGTCCTACCTCCAAAACACATCCTGAATCCAATCACATCTTCCTCTTACAGCCCACCAGCACAGTCTCAGCCACAAGCACCTCTTGCTCAAACTAAAGTTACATGACCACTTTAGTCATGTAACTTGTCTCTCCATGGCCACTCTTGCCCCTGCACCCAACAATCTAATTTCACATAATAAATCACATCATTACCTTCACTTCTTAAAACTCTCCATGGCTTCCTTCCTATCCCATTTTATTTTTATTTTATTTCATTTTTTTTAAGATTTTATTTATTTGACAGATCACAAGTAGGCAGAGAGGCAGGCAGAGAGAAGAAGGGAAGCAGGCTCCCCGCTGAGCAGAGACCAGGATGCGGGGCTCGATCCCAGAATCCTGGGATCATGACCTGAGCCGATGGCAGAGGCTTAACCCACTGAGCCACCCAGGCGCCCCACATCCCATTTTAAATGAAATCTAGGGGCACCTGGGAGGCACCTTAGTCTAAACCAACATCATCTCTTGACCATATTAGGGCATCTCCTCCTCTTCTGCCCTACTGCAATCCATTTTCCACTACAGCAAGAGAGATCTTCTTTAAACACAATTTGAATCATGTCACATCCCTGTTCAGAACCCATTGCACTTAGGATAAAATTTAAACAAAACTAAACCAAAAAATCCTACCACTGCCAAAGAGGCCTGGCATGAATGAACTGGTCCCCTCCACATCTCCAGTTCAAACTTATGTCCTTCACTCGACACTCTCCATCATGCTGGCTTTCTTTCTATTTCTCTAATTTGACAAAATTTTTCTTGGTTTGAAGCCTTAGAATGGGATATCTTCTGTCTGAGAAGTTCTTCTCTGCTACTGTTTGCTTTGACCAACTTGTATTCACACCTCAAGTCTGAACTAAAACATTACTTCTCAAAGAGTTCTTCCCTGGCTTTTCAATCCAAATCAGCTCCCTTTGTTATATATCTCCTAACACCTGTACATTTCCAAAAATAACTGGTTTGGTAGTTGTCTTAATATGACTCCCCCACTAGACTAGAAGCTTAGTGAGAATGGGAACCATATCTGACTCTCTGCTTTATTCTCTGGCCCATAGTAAGCACTTCCTAAATATTTTTAGAATGAAAGAACAAGCAGGCAGTGAGAGGCATAACCTGTGGCATAGATAGAAGCAGATTTAAAGCAATATAATAACTTATCTTGCCCAATCTTAGTCATTCATCATGGAAGAGCATCTGTCTTCCATCTGCCTCCATTCACTATTCTCTGATAGTTTAAAATCTAAATGAAGATTGGAAGCCGAGTGATTAAGATGTGTATATTCTGGGAAGACCCTGAAAGATCTTTTGCTCATAAAAGGCAAGTTATGCAGTATGGAAAAAACAAAAGTTCTTGTAGGATAAAAGGATATCAAACCTGAATGAACGCTGGGCCCACTTCTCCTGATCCACACGAGGGGCTAGTCCAGATTTTCCAGCCCACAGGACATTGTCACAGGCGAAGTACAAGGCTCGATTGAGGTGACTAACGGTGATGCAGAATCGCAGGACAACATCTGATAAGTGCACAGCTCGTTTGGCTGACTCAAGAGCATCCGCTGAGTTACCCAGGCGTAGAACTTGTGGAGATTAGTAAGGAGAAGCAAGGATTTGGAAATAGAGACAGAGAGTGAGACACAGAGAAAGAGGAAGCAAGAAAGTGAAAGTCGAGAAGTGATAGAAACAATAATTACAATTTTTTTTTTAAGAAGAGAAACAGCTCAAAAATTTTTTTTCTTCAAATTTTAATTTGTGTTTCAGTTTGGTTTTCTCCAACTTGCCCTTTGTGTTTCAGTTTGGTTTTCTACAACTTGTCCTTCACTAGTTTCTTACCCCTGCTCTCTTATCTCAACCAAGAGGCATGCAGAGGATAAGTGCAGACCTAAATAAGGGGTAAGAACTGGCAGAGAAGGTCAAGAACAGGAAGGAAGGGCTAAGGGAGAAGCTGGGGACGGAGGAAGTGTTGGAGTAATAAAGCAAAAGCATGGTTACTTACGCTTTCTTCCTAGGCTCAGGTGACCCTCCAGTTGTCGAATTTGCTTCTGTAACTCCGGACTGGCCCCATGTTTCTGAAGTGCATGGCCAAGAAGGGAGCAGGCATACTGGGCGGCCCTGGAGAAGAGGCCAGGCAAGGTAAGGTGGAGACATCCCTAAGCTACCTCTCAAAAATGTCTTCCAAAAGGAAAGTACTGACTTCCCCTTTTCCCCATTTGCGAACATTCCCCTTCCTTCTCTTTATGCCCATTTCTTACCGTTTCTCCTTCATGCCAGGGGAAGGGAAAAGCGTAAGGATAAAAAGCAGCCTAGAAAAGGAGTTGGGGGCATTATTTGGAGTTGAGAAAATAAGAGATTTGACAATGATGAAGTCTGAAGTAGACTGTGAAGGCACCAGGGGGGTCGGCCCATCATGAGCACATCAGGGTGAGTATATACCTGACATATAAGGGAGTGGGGGACAGGTGGAGAGATTATTCTTCAGAGTAGGTTAACTAGGAGGTTTCAGCCCTCTAGCTGAATCGAAACCGGAAGACAAGGAGGAGGCAGAGGAGTTCCCGGATGACAACAGGGTGAGGGGACAAGGGAACTTAGAGCCACTCAGCCCTGGGGGGCAGAGTCCCGCTATCCACCGCGGGGCGAATGCTCCTCACGCCACCACCGCCCAGTGAGTAAAGTGTAGGTCTTATGTGGACATGGCCACCCTTAGCGGCCTCCCCGCTGGGCCACTCGTGCCTCAGTTTCCCCATCTTTCCGGTGAGCAAAAAACGAATCATCTCCTCACGGCCCGCTCAAATCAGTGCCTGGCGGTCCGTCCGGGCCCCCGTAGCCCGAGCTGACCCTTTTTGACCCCCGTAGTATGAACGGACCTCGCCTCACGAGGATCCTCCTCTGTCCCCACCCCCATTCCTATTCGGGCCGCACCTACACAGCCGCTCCCGGGCCTGGCTCTGAGCACTGAAGCGAACCCAGGCGTCCATGACAGCGGCAGCCCCAGCTCCGCAACCCCGCTCCCGCCCCACTTCCCGCCCCTAGTCACGCCTCCTGGACAATCAACGGTGTCTCGCGAGGGACAAACATCGCTAGAAAAGAAAGCGAAGGGGACGGGCCTCGGAATCTAGATCAAGAAGCGTGTGTCTCTGGACCAATACCGGCGTGTTTTTTGGTGTGTCTCCATCACAGCATACCCTTATCGGATGGCCACTATTTCCTAAGCACGCCTCCGGCGGTACATTCCTCTTTAAATATTCAGGACCGGGGCGGGGCTTGCAGTAGGGGCGGGGCGAAAAGGCACAGCAGTATCTCGCCTGCGAGGCTGGGTTGGGGTTGTCCCCGGGGTGCTCCCAAACACCCCTAACACACACACAAACACACACGCACACATGCGCTGCGGCCGAACCCAGGGCTGTAGGGGCTAAAGAAGTCTATGGAAGTAGAAGCCAGCACCAGATCCCTGTTCCCTGCGGGACCCTGGCAGTTGGGCAGGTGACCTCCAGGACACAGATGGAGAGTCTCCAGAGACAGAGGCTTTAATGGACGAAACTCTCAATAACCAGCTTCAGATCCTAATCAGGAGGAGGGCGAAGAATCAGTGCACGAAGCTCACCTCTTCATATTTACACTTCATCATCCCACCCCTTTCCCTTCCAGGTCACCATGTCTGCAGGCAATGGCACCCCTCGGGGGTTAGAGGAGGAGGAGGAGGTCTGGGCGGGATCAGGAGTAGAGGTAGAGGGCTCAGAGCTGCCCACCTTCTCAGCTGCAGCCAAGCTCCGAGTGGGAGTGACTATTGTGCTATTCATTTCTTCAGCTGGAGGGAACTTGGCTGTCCTGTGGTCAGTGACTCGGCCACAACCCAGCCGACTCTGTCCCTCCCCTGTACGACGACTCTTTGCCCACTTAGCAGCTGCTGACTTACTAGTCACTTTTGTGGTTATGCCTCTAGATGCCATCTGGAATATCACTGTTCAGTGGCTGGCCGGGGACATCGCATGTCGGACACTCATGTTCCTGAAACTAATGGCCATGTATGCTGCAGCTTTCCTGCCTGTGGTCATTGGACATGACCGAAAGGGAGCCGTACTCCACCTGCTTGGACCCCGCCCAGCTGGAAGGAAACTTCTAGGGACAGCCTGGGGACTTAGTTTCCTGCTTGCCTTGCCCCAGGTGAGTGACTTGTTGGGACCCAAGGCTAGAGGTGACAAGAATCTGGGTAAACAACATGAGCGCTTGGAGTCAAGCGGTGTGCTTGACCATGGTCACCCACTAATCCTCAGAGGGGAGCCTCTGCTGTTTTGCAAATTAAGATCACAGCATGTTAATCTGTATCTCCATTAAGAGCCTTTGTCTTCAAAGTAGTACCCTATCTATGCCTCTTCCCTTAGCTTTGTTTCCCTATGCTTGGCTTTCATCTCTTTGCATCCTCCCAGCTTTTTTAGCAGATTGTTGCAGAAAACTGTAGGGATGAAACATGTGTGTGGGTCTATAAAGAAGATAGTGAAGTCAGGGGCTTTGGTTAAAACTCTGCGGTAGTCACTCATCCACTCAAAAAATAATGTACATCACCCCTAGACACACTCTAATGCTCTATCAAGGACTGAGCAGTGAAGAGCTGCATTCAGGAAACTCAGACTAGAGCAGAAGGCATATTAGTATGTAATTATAATACAGTATGCAGTCAAGCATTATACTAAAGGTGACAATAGAAGCTAAAAGAACAATGAGGATGTCTGACGCACTCTTGGACAGTCAGGGAAAACTTCTCAAAGACATTACAACTGATTTTTTATTTTATTAAAATAGGAGAGGCTTTAGACAAGTTAAAGCAGGAGGAATGCTGGGGAGGGTGGAAGGTAGAGGAATTCAAAGTGGTTGTAGCTAAAGTTGAGGGCTAGAAAATGGGTGAGTTGGGACGCCTGGGTGGCTCAGTTGGTTAAGCGGCTGCCTTCGGCTTAGGTCATGATCCCAGCGTCCTGGGATCGAGTCCCACATCGGGCTCCTTGCTTGGCGGGGAGCCTGCTTCTCCCTCTGCCTCTGCCTGCCTCTCTGTCTGCCTGTGCTTGCTCACTCTCTCTCCCTCTGTCTCTGGCAAATAAATAAATAAAATCTTTAAAAAAAAAAAAAAAGAAAAAAAAAAAAGAAAAAAAAAAGAAAATGGGTGAGTAATGAGCCTGGATGGGAAGGAAGAGCCAGGTTCCAGATATTAAGCTTGTACTTTTTCCTGAGGACAGTGGAGAGAGACTAAGGTAAAAGGTAGAAAGTGACATATCAGATTTGTATTTTTTTACTCTAGCTTTATCGTGAAAACTGGAAAGAAAACAGAGCATCCGAACTTGAGTACCAGTTATCACATATTATGTATTGATAATGAACTAGAAATATAGAAAAGAAGGAAATATGAAGCAATTCCTTTAAGACCAAAAATCAAAACCACATCACCCTCTGGGGGAAGGAGTAGAGCAGCATCTTGGGAGACCAGGACTAGGATTTTCTACCTAGAAGGGGCTCTGGAATAATGCATTATAGAATCAGATTTAAAATTTGATCCCTAAATCCTCAAATATTAGAAATAGAACTACCAAAAGTTAGTCTGACTATAGTTCTAAGGCAAAAAATAACGTTTCCAACAATGTTGCAAGCAGGAACCTCTGCTACCCAAAGCTTTAAAAAGAAGCATTGCTGCCTCAGTGCAAAAGGTATTAAAGTTGTTTATATGAAGCAAATTTTAGATGTGGACTGGGAGGTAGAAGCCTGTTTCTGTTGCATTTTTTTGTTTTTTCTGAGTCTAAGCTCTACTACTAACTAGCTGTATGACTTTGGCTAAATCACTTGAAACCTATTGGCCACAAGATATTGGATAGGAGTTTCATCCTTTGTTACATTCTGACAACTGTAATCTCCATTTGCTTCAATGGCAAACTGATAACATTATGATACATGTGTAAAAGATGGTATTTTTGGTTCCAAATTAGCATCCTCTTGTATAAATTCTGCATTACCGTATGTTCTATTTAAAATATTAATCCTACCTTCCAGGACTAATATGTCAATAAAAAACCCTCTTCTTAAGTGTGGTGTTAGTGTGGTGAGGGAGTACTGGAAAAGTCAGAAATTATCTTTGAAGGCTCAAGTTTCTAAGTATCACAAGTGGTTGAAAGGAAGCTTTATATAATAGGTGGTAAACTGCATATAATAGGGGGAAGGAAAGGCAGAAGTACAGACCAAACTCTAAGTCCAGAAGCCTTGCTTATTTTTAAACCCCTTTTCACAATCTATCAGATGTATCTAGGGACAGTGCAAAACAAAACCAACCAACCAAAAACCCTACAAATATATGGACTCAAGATGGGAAGGGGAAAAACCATTCCCCGGCTAGCTCAGAGTAAGCTGATCTTAACCCCAAGCCATTCAGTTGTGTCTGTGGCTGATACTATTCACCTTTCCTAAAAGTTCCTCATTGCTGAAATCACTTTCCCAAATGCCTTATATCTGGGAATCCAAGACCACTAAGCTTGCCTTTTATCAAACTAATAGTGACTCAGTCTGCCTTATCTGAACCAAGGTATTAACCCTGAAGCTCTTAACTGAAAAATACTCTTTAGGATTCAAACCAAAAACTCAGCAATTTACCAAAAAGGGGGAGGGGCAGCCAACAGCATTTGGAAAATGTTAAATTTTATTACTTAACATTGTTTCACTGTTATAATTATTGTACATAAGACTATCACTAAAGGTCACTTCACAGAGTGGCTGCAAAATGGCCTGAAATTTTAGCAGCACCCATTTATACAAAATTTCTTTTTCCACAGAATTAGACACATCAAAAAAAAAAAAAACAAAAAACACTTCAGCTAAAAATGTTGGTGAGGTGGTAGAAATTTTACGAAGTGCAATGTTAGAACAGTACTTGTAAAGGCAAGATTCTTTAAATCCCGGGATTTAACAAACTTGATTAGCTCTGTAGCCTAAAGGGAAAACGGAATCTCAAGTTTTTAACCTTTTAAATATGGCACTATAGATGAACTCAGCACTACCCAGCTCTGCAGAGAATTAAGGATGAACTGGGAAAGTACGACTAGTGAGAAGGATGAAGGAGGACCACTTCTAATAGTCCTCAAACTCCACTCCAGCTGTTCCTGTTCCACACCGTCCGCCGAGCTGGCCCAGTCCCCTTCACTCAGTGTGTCACCAAAGGCAGCTTCAAGGCTCGATGGCAAGAAATCACCTATAACCTCTTCACCTTCTGCCTCTTTCTGCTGCCACAGACTGTCATGACCATCTGCTATAGCCGCATTGTCCTCAGTGTATCTAGTCTCCAGACAAAGAAGGGGAACCATGGTGAGACTCCAATCCCCAGGCCCTAACCCATACCCTCAGAACTATTGCCTCTAGCCTCATTTACTGATCTGATAGTTTTCTAGCAAACCAGAAGTGACATTGTAACCATCCCTCTAGCATCTGATGCTGCAAGTATTTTCTAAATGCCTTCAATTCTAACCAGCCTCTAGCCACCCTTCATTGTTGAGTTAGCTGGGCAAGGATTAAGGAGAAAGGTGGTCAATATTTAGTCTTAGATACCATCAGGTCTCCAGGTAGTCTCAGTAGCTTCCTAACACCATACCCCAATCAAAACCTTTCCTCCAGCATGTCTGTCATAATCCCTGGGGGAGAAGGGGGGAGCATTTAGTCCCAATCTGGGAAGGGAAGAGGATGTGTAACATTACCTCCTATTTGCTACATTCTCTTCCTTATATCAGGAGAACTCCAGCTCATCATCCCTGCCTGTTCAGCCTACACTCAATTCAGAAGCTGAATGGTTCTGAATTTGAGTATGTTTTCTAAATTCCCAGCCCCTGCCGGTAAATTTGCCCTCCGTCGCTCCTTAGACAATCGCTCCCGTGTTCGTCTGCGGGCCTTGCGACTGGCCCTACTCGTCTTGGTGACTTTCATCCTCTGCTGGACACCTTATTACCTGCTGGGGCTGTGGTACTGGTTCTCTCCCACCATGCTAACCGAAGTCCCCCCAAGCCTCAGCCACATCCTTTTCCTTTTTGGCCTCCTCAATGCTCCTCTGGATCCTCTCCTCTATGGGGCCTTTACCCTTGGCTGCCGAAGAAGGCAAGAAGAAGTCAGTACAGACTCTTCCAGGGAAAAAGGTTCTGAGAGAATGCCCCAACAGGATATTCAAGCCCTTAGACAGCTGCAAGTACAAACAAATATGGCAGCAGGAAGGACAGGAGAAACAAAAGAGACATTCCTATAACATCCATCTGCATGGTACAGAGTATATAGGAACAAAACAATTATGCTTTAATATCACAAGGACACATCACTTCCACCCCTGCTCTCTTAGCTTCCAAGAAAAAGTACTGAGCAGTGTCTCTACTTTGATCCTAGCTAAGACTTGAGACTATATTTAATGTAGAAATTCACACAGAATTGAGGCCCTAGAAGCATCTTCACAGTGACCTATACTGCCTTACTGTAAATAGTGCTTCGGAACTTGCAATGTTAGAAGAGGAAAATAATTTTAAATGTACAAAACAAAAATGGGACATTTATTCGTAACTCAAAAAAAAAAAAAAAAAAAAAAAAACCAAACCCACTAAGCAAGTAGGGTGAGAGATTAAATATAAACATGGTGAGTTCCATCCCAGCCCTATTTCTCCAAGGCTGCATGGTCAAACAGAATCTCTGGAGAGAACATCTGGACAACAGAGGACCTGTCAGCGCCGCCTCCGGTCTGGACTCCTGCTGCGTCTTCGGCCACCTCTAGGGAAAAGGAAGGGCCCATCAGAGAACATAATACAACGTCCTTATTCTGTTTTGCTTATGACTCTTCACCAAGATTTTCCCCTCTCCACTTTACCTCCTCTTGCCCTTAGGTGGACCCCGAACAAAACACCAGTCCACACTGATCGGCTGTCCCATCAAATCCTGGCCATTGAGTCCCTCCATAGCAGCCTGGGCCTCCTTGTATGTTTCATACTCAACTAGAGTATACCCCTGGGACAAGAGAAAAGACAGAGATCAAAACCCTCATATTCCACCAAACATCACCTAAGCATCTTCTTCCTCAAATCTAAACTCATACCCAAATACAAAATTCTGTACCTTTTAAACAACAAATATACCTCATATATCCTTATTGTATATACAAAATGCTTCCATCTCTTTGCTATGTCTGACAAAATCAATTTTCAATCTCATTTTATTTCAACTTTGCTCTTGGCCAATCACAGCAAACATGGGAGAATTATCAATGCTGTCTAAAGGTTATGGGGGAGAGAAGCAATAGGGTATCACTTAGGATACCTTCAGGTATCCTGTACGCCTGTCCAGATTGAGGTGGATGTTTTTTATTTCCCCATACTCTGCAAATTTGTCATGGATGTCTTCTTCAGTGGCTTCCTCATGGACTCCAGTGACAAACAGAATCCAGCCTTCAACAGCTGTTGGGGAAGGGAGGGAGGTTTGAGCACAAGAGAAAAACTTCAAACAAGATCACAAAGAGTGGAGTAAGAGGGGATTCCTGAGATTGGTTAAGGTATATCCGACCCCATTCCTACTGGACTTTATTTCATTGGTCCATAATTCACTACAAACACAGATCCCTACAGGCTCCATTTTACTTACAGCGTTGTGGTCCAGGTTCATCACCATCCTGCTCCACGCTGTCATAATCCTCACGCATCCGCGCTCGAGACCCTTCTTCTATAGGGAACATACAAGAGATCACCAGAAACCCATTCTCCCACTGTTCCCCATGAGTCTGAACGGGGACTCCAAAACTCGTATCTGTCGCCATTCTAGACCCATTTTCCCCACACTCACCGGAGCCAAAGCCGCGGCCCTTCCGTTTCTTCGCCTTTTCTTTTAGTTTGTGGATGCTCTCTGGAGCCCCAGAAGTAAAAGAATGAGTAACAAAAATAACGGGTATTTGTACCAATAGTCTCTTTAGAGACAGATCTGAAAGCAGCCCCACACCACCTTCAGTCCCATTCCCTTCCCGGTCCCGCCCCCATTCCTCCCGAAGGGGGCGCACTCTCTAATCCAACCGAAACCCGGTTCCCCGACTCCCATCCTCCCTGCCGGGAAAGGGAATTATTTTCCTACTAACTCCCTTCTCTCGCACCTTCCCCGCTTCCCGCAGCCGCCTCCACTGTCCTCACCGTCCCCATCCTCATCCATGGCGAAATCCTCGCCCCCAGCCTCATGAAGATCCAGCACGTCCGCCATCTTGCCTGCCTTCTTACTCTCGCCCTTGCCGCTCAGGCACTAGGCACCTCGGGAAACTGTCGCGGAGGGGAAAGGTCGCTGGTTAAGTTGCCCAATCAAAAGCTAATTCTGAGTCCCGCCCCCGGCGCGGTGAAAATACGCAAATGAAGGCGGGCCTAGTTCGGGAAGATGACGGAAGTGTTCCTGTAGCCATCTTGAGTAGGTGGTGACCTGAATGGAACAGCGCTCTACGGGACAGCTAGTGGGTAGGTGTAGGCAACGGTCTCCTACTGATTAGGGCAGCCGAGGAGAAATACTACTGACAGCGAGGCACTGCCTAATTTATTAGAAGATTGTTTTCCATCTCCTTGGACTCCATACTAGGAAATGGAACTTGAAGAATGTCTTTCGCTCTAAAAAATTCTAGACCCATACGCTGTTCTGAGGAGTAGCTGGACCTGTGATGTAACATTTTTAAAAAATAGTTCAGTCAGCAATGGTGGCTCAAAAAGCTGCTTCTGGTTCGTGCAGCACCGAATGTCTCTCTCAAGGAAACTAACAGACCTGGTTGTCCCTGAACTAGGATTGGTGAGACAGGTATAAGCTGCTGCTGCAGCTTTTTTTTTTTTTTTTCTTCTTCTTTTAAGATAAACTCTCAAACTCTTCCCACTTTAAGGACCTATTTTATATTTTTAGTCAGAGGCTTCCATTGAGGTTAAACAATAACTTTGTTGTTTAACCCTTAAACAGTCCCTGCTCCCCTTCACCCAGGGGACTTAAAAACAAGTCCCGGAAACCAGCTCCAGGTAACAAAGCCCAAGTACAAGGGTGGGTCAGGCCAGGTGGAGGTATTGAATCAGTGGGGGCGCATACTGTCTCCTAGCTACCTAGGTGATGGGCTAGTTTCCATGGCTACTGTGGGGTGCATTGTAATTCAGTTAGCCACCTGTGTGTGGCCAGGCCCAACCACATGGCCTTTGCTCTATAAAAGTTTAGTCTGGAAAGGAAGGAGGGGTTGTCCTCTGTAAGGGGCGTCCCTGACCTGTCTGTTTGATGGTCAGTCTGATTCTTGATGCTTGGCGTGAAATAAAGCTTTGCTTGACCTTTGCTTTGTATCAGTCTCGCTCCTTTAATCACAGACCTATTATTGGGGTACCCATTTTGGGGGGGACCTAACACCCACCACCTCCGGAAATTAAGGGGGAAAAAATCATAGCTGTAAACAAAATAGGGACTTTAGCATCTTCGGGAATGGTGCAGGTATTTCATGTTAAAAACCTAGGAGTTTTTTGCCTAGGAGGCCAAACCCATATTGCCCCCAAATTCTGCAATCCTGATGTAGGCCTTCAACGATAGTGGACTGCACATTCACTTACTTATTAATTTTTTAATCAAACAGTTATAATGTGTATATCTAATAAGAGAAGGTGCTGGCAATAGAGGGAAAAATAATTACATTATTAACAATCATTTTATCTATATTATGAGAGTGATAATTGCTGTCATAAAATTGTTATGGCAGTATAAAGCAAGTTTATAATAGGACTGGGAATAAGAAGGCTTCCATTTGAACTGGGCCTTTTAGACTGGGTAGTTTTCCAGGCGAAGCACTTGTACTGAGACTAAGAGACACTAACCCATTCACCACGGTAGGTAGTGTGATCTTTGTAAAAATCAGCTGGTCACATCCCTACCAAAAACCTTTCCTTATTTTTGCACTTGGAATAAAATTCAAACACCACCTGCTCTGCCTCTTTACAACAACTTCCATCACCAAATTCCCTCTCATTAAGCTCTTCCTATATTTTCCCTCAATTATGTTGTCTCCTTTCCCATCTCAGGACTTCTAGAACTTCCTGTTCCTGATGCTCTTGCTCCAGCTCTTCACATGGCTCATTCAGCCTCATCCTTTAGGTCTCCCCAAAATACTAACAGAATCGAAGGGTTCTCTATTATCTGTCACTGTGTTTATTTCCTTCACAGAGCTTAAATGCTGATCTAATTAACCTTGTTTACTTTCTATCTTGTTTATTGTTGATTTCCCATTAGAGTGTAATCCTTATGGCAGACACTCTTATTTATGATATCCTTAACAGTTTAGACCAGTGTCTGGCTCACAGACATTTGATACTTATTGAAGGAACAGATCCCAGAATGGCAAGAAATTCTGTTTGCCTGATGCTGTGTGGTTAGGAGATAAAGCTGAAAGTACAGGTTGGGGCCAAAATGTATGCCATGCTAAGAATTTTGGAATTCTATCTTGTAGGCAGTAATTTCTCAACTTCAAGTATTTGAGTATTCATGATTTTTCTCAATCACAGATAGTCCCCCATGCTGTTCCTTGATTAGTATTTTTCCTTAAGTAGACTGACTTGTTAATTAAGTAGACTGACTTGTTTATACTGAGTTTAAATATCACTGGCATAAATGTAAAATCTGTATTTTTTTCTATGACAGTTTCAGATTAGACTATAACTAAATAAAAATGAAAAATGTGGGTGTCTGGGTGGCTAAGTCAGTTAAGCGTCTGCCTTTCAGGCTCCCTGCATAGCAGGGAGTCTGCTTCTCCCTCTGCCCCTACCTCCTACTGGTGATCTCTCATGCTTTCTCTCTCTCTCAAATAAAAAAATAAATAAATTTTTAAAAAATTTTAAAATTAAAAATATTTGCCCATCTACCACCTAAAATTGTCTCAATACCAAGGGTTCACACATGAAACTTTGGGGAATGCTGCTAAAGACAAAGATAGCTAAGTGATGGTTTAACCAAGTTAGTGGTACAGTACTAAGTATTTTAGAAACAAATCTAGCAATAGTGTGGAGGATGTAAAGAATGAAGACGGAGGCTAGTTAAGAAGCTACTGCAGGGGCGCCTGGGTGGCTCAGTGGGTTAAGCCGCTGCCTTCGGCTCAGGTCATGCCTTCGGCTCAGGTCATGATCTTGGAGTCCTGGGATCGAGCCCCGCATCGGGCTCTCTGCTCAGCAGGGAGCCTGCTTCCTCCTCTCTCTCTGCCTGCCTCTCTGCCTGCTTGTGATCTCTCTGTCAAATAAATAAATAAAATCTTTAAAAAAAAAAAAAAAAAAGAAGCTACTGCAGTGCTCCAGCCCAGAAATGATAAATTACTGAAAGGCAGTGGATATGGACAAGACAGATTAAGAAGTTTATGTAGGGAGTGCCTGGGTGGCTCAGCCAGTTAAGTGTCTGGCTCAGGTCATGATCTCAGGGTCCTGGGATTGGGCCCTGGGTCAGGCTCTGCACTTGGCAGGAAGTCTGCTTGAGGATTCTCTCTCTCTCCCTTTGCTCCTCACCCTGCTCGCATTCTCTCTCTTTTAAATAAATAAATAAATCTTTTTCTTTCTTTTTTTTAGTTTATATAGGAGGTAAACTCAATAGTGACTGATTAGATCATGGTAGGGAAAAGTCAAGTATGGACCTAAGATTCTAGCTTAGATAGACAGGTAGATAACAATCCTAATAACAGATTTGGGGAGGCAAAGAGGAGCATGTGTGGAAATAGCTTTTATTTTGAATATGAGTTCAAAGAGCTTGTGTCATAAATTCAGGTAGTGATGTCCAGTGTATGGAAATGCATATGTAAAAGCTGGAAAGGGTGAAAGAAATAGATTTGAGAATGGTGTGTATTATAGAGTTGAAGTCACCATGGTGGGTGAGATTGTCAGCGGAAATGGGTAGAGATTGAGAAGAAAGGATCAGTGACAAAATCTGGGTTCCTCAAATGTCTGGAGAAGGGAAGTTAGAATGCCTTCCCCCAGCAGTACAATCTTATTTCTACCATCCAAAAAATACTAATCAAAATTCTGTTTTAGTATACTTGTAAAAGAATGGGTCATTTTAGAGCTTCTCTGATACATAGGTCTCAAGAAAGAGTCAATGTGGAGTGCTTGGGTGGCTCAGTTGTTAACTGTCTGCCTTCAGCTCAGGTCATGATCCCAGGGTCCTGGGATCAAGCCCCATATCGAACCCACATCGGGCTCCCTGCTCAGCAGGAAGCCTGCTTCTCCCTCTCCCACTCTCCAGCTGGTGTTCCCTCTCTTGCTGTATCTCTCTCTGTCAAGTAAATAAATACAATCTTAAAAAAAAAAAAGAGTCAATGTAGCTCACTAGACAAAAATCTATTTTTAATTGTATAAAATTATACATATAAAATACATAGAAACTACTAAAAAGATAAGTAAATTCTTGTAACAATGAAAATGACAGATCAGGGAACAATTTTTCCTCAAGTTCTTTGGGATCTTATGGTTGTTATTTGAGAAAAATAATCAATCCAGGAGGTGCAAGAAGAAATTCTTCCCAAAACTCACACCACTTCACGCTTTCCAGAGAAAGGAGCATAGGAAAAATGAGGGTTTAGGATTTCTGGATTATAAATATGAATAAAATCTGAACAGACATACCTATTATTTAATGTAGGAGCCTCTATTCCGACCGTATTAGTGCTCCGTGGTGTATAGAGATGGGGCTTGGAGAATTCAAAGAGATCCCTTTCAAACACTAAAACAGTTGCTAGACTCCTTACCACTGATCCCATATGAACTAGTCACCAAGATGATTTCGAAGGCCAAAAAGCTGACTTTCATCTTATCCCTATCTGGTCCAAAAGAGCAAATTGTGGCCTATTTCCTAACCTATTTCTAAAAACAAAGTGTATCATCATTAAATGGAAATTCCAATTGCAGAAACATGAAACTTCCCAAGCACATTTTAGAAAGTGCACTGAACTATAATACAATATAAAGGAGATTACAGAAACAAGGGGAAGTGTGTCTTTGAGAGACCTACAAAAAATTCTCCCAGCTGTACTCCCTATCATTTCTCTCCTATTTACCCAGGACAGGAACAGGGGTTGGGGGGCACCAGGAGAGGGAGTCTTAAAAACACAAATATTTGATCATTGAGCCTCTTTGCCCTCCTGCAGTCTCCCAAGGTTCCAATTAGGAAGTGCCATAATGCTAGGCTCCTTTTCCTGATTGACTCACGCTCTAATAATCAACATGGAAGAAGAAGAAAGAAAAGAGAGAAAACAACTGAATCCATGGACATCTAAGGTAGCAAATAGCAGCAACTTTGAGGGAGAGAGAGGAACATGGCCCTCGCCAAACAGGACAGCTGTTTCCAAAGAGTGAAATGATGGGAGGAGTGGGAGTAGGGAAATGTTTTCCCTCTACCAATTTCAGCAGGCAGGAAGGTCTAAATACTGGACTCAGCTAAGCTGGGTGAGCAGGGGAGAAGGAGAGAAACGGGAATACTTGAAGATAAGCAGCTTCAACACTGACCCTTTCCGGAGAAAGCTCATCTGGAAAGCTCGATGACCAGCTTGATATGGTATCTATGCCCCAGAAGTAATTTAGGTGATAAACACCTATGGGTTGTGTTTATAATTCCTCTCCTCTTTCTGGGAAGTTTCTCAGGAATGGTTTTAACAATAAGACACCAGTCTCAAAGTGAAGTACCACTTGAAGGCAGAAAAGGAGTAAGGTGGTGGTGGTCGGGTGGGGGGAGTCTAGGCTAGGAAATATCTAGTTGCTGGAGGAACAACTCTATCAAGTAGGCTCAGCTCAAGATAAACCAAAGCCAAAAGCTTCATACTCATACCCTGTCTGGAATCCAAGAGAAAGGAATGAGAGTGAGGGTGGGGCACATAATCCTTATTCAAGCTCCCTGTCATATTATAAGAACACTTTGTCAATCATCTTGTGCTATTGAAATGACTACACAGAGTTACTGGAAGGGTAAAAGCCAACAAGCTCTGAAGACAGCCTCCTCTTCTTACAAAGTGGAGTGGTGATGTTTCAAATGAAACGACATCCAAAAACCAGAAGAAAAGGGATCTCTCAGCAAATAGGAATCCAAGTGTAGAATTTATACATATACATATATATATCTATATTTTAAAGTATAAAACTGAGAAAGTATGTACAGAAATCAACTAAGTCTTAGAAAAGACATTATTAAAAAAAAAGGGCCGAGAGAGGACAGGGAGTATGTGAGTGGACACCTAACAGTTGGAAGAATGCATATTGCCCAACTGCCCAGCAGCCAGCAGGAGAATATCCTTCTTCTCCTTGTGGAAGCGCAGCTCCTTGCCTGCCAGCCGGGCTTCATCCAGCTCCCGCTCAGTAGAGGCCAGCTCTCTAGACAGTGCCCCTGGCACACTCTGCTCCCGGCTCACCCAGTCCAATGCCATTTGGTGGCGAATATCATCATCCAAAGCCCGGTGTGAATAATGAGCCAACACTTCCTGGAAGGGGAAAGGAATATGAAGATCACTGACGATGTCAGGGTTCACACCACATTGGCCCAACAGGACTAGGAACTCTTTTTTTTTTTCTTTTTTAAGATTTTATTTATTTATTTGACAGAGAGAGAGAGAAAGATCACAAGTAGCAGCAGGCAGAGAGGGGGAAGCAGGCTCCCTGCTGAGCAGAGAGCCCAATCTGGGGCTCAATTCCAGGATCCTGAGAACATGACCTGAGCTGAAGGCAGAGGCTTAATCCACTAAGCCACCCAGGCGCCCCAGGACTAGGAACTCTTAACCTTGGAGTCCTAACTGAAGTTCGCACCGAAGTCCTCTAAGGAGATTCTTAAGGCAACTGCCTGGTGGAAGAAGCAAGTTCAGCAAAAGAATCACAGCTAAGATCTAAATTACAAAGATGATAGGAATGAAGAGGGCCCTCTAAGGGAGACTTTCAGTATTCACAACCTGGTAACTATAGGCCTGCTTATTTCTAACAGCCCCCTCAAAATAGTTCTTCTGCCACACTCCTTGCACTTACCTATAGAACCTCTTACCTGCCGAGAGCACTGTCTTTCCCTCATGGCCTTAAGGCTGCCATTCCAGTGCAGCAGCTGAAAAACTGTCATTAGTTCCTGGGGGAAGAAGATATGAAGCGTCAGGACAGTGATTTTATATGGGGAGTTTGCATTAGAATTACATGCGAAACCTCTTACAAAATGTATTTTTGTAAACATCTCATACCATCTCTGATACGCCCTTTGGGAAAGGAAGGTCTTTATATTTTGAAAAATATTCTAATCCTCTTTCCCTTCCCTTTCAACTGAGTATCAGTGACTTAGGGATTAGTATCTATCCGCAGGTTGATCTGTGTCACCAGAGTCAGAGAAGTACATGGAAAAGTACCTGGAACTCCAACATTGACTTGCCCTTATTGGATTCCAGCATGAATCGGAAAGCACCAATCCCTGTATTTGGGTTGTCAGCTTCCTCCCTGTTGCCCTGTAACAGAGGAAAGGAAAAGACAAATAGATTTTCAATCAGGATTATCGCCTCAAGCAGCACTGTCCAGGGGAACTATAATGCAAGCCCCAACCTAATTTAAAATTTCCTAGGGGCACCTGGGTGGCGCAGTGAGTTGAACGTCTGACTCTTGGTTTAGGCTTGGGTCGAGATCTCAGGGTTGTGGGATCCATCTGTGTAGGGCTCTGCGCTCAGCACAGCATGCTTGGGTTTCTCTCTTCCTCTCCTTCTGCCCCCCCAACCCCCTGCGAGCATTTGTAAGTTCTCTCTCTAAATAAAAAAATAAATCTTAAAAAAAAAATTCCTAGTTGCCACATTAAACACGTAAAACTAATGTTAAGAGCATGTTTTATTTAAGCTAATATATTCAAAATACTATCTTAAACTATAATTAGCATAAAACTTTTTTTTTTAAGATTTCATTTATTATTTGACAGACAGAGATCACAAGTAGGCAGAGAGGCAGGCAGAGAGAGAGAGGAGGAAGCAGGCTCCCCGCTGAGCAGAGAGCCTGATGCGGGGCTCAATCCCAGGACCCTGGGATCATGACCTGAGCTGAAGACACAGGCTTTAACACACTGAGCCACCCAGGCACCCCAGCATAAAACTTTTTAATGAAATATTTTTACATTCTTTGTCTTATACTAAGATTTCAAAATCTGATGTCTCTTTCATGCTTACAGGACATCTCAATTCACACTAGCCACATATCAAGTGCTAAAAAGCTACATGGTGGCTGATGGCTATTCTGGTCACCACAGACCTAGAGGACTCCAAAGTCATCACACATACTAACTCAGGTGACAGAGGCCAATCTGATTTTTCCTATCTTACAAAGAGGGAACACTGGACAGAGAGAAGAACCCTGATTTAGTCAAAATAACAGAGTGAGCTCAGCATACAGGATTGGACTAGCCTAAAGGGTAACTGGGCAAATGCATTTTCAAGGGAAACAGTAGGAGCCATCAGCATGGTAAATTCTGGGTAGCAGTTTGGCCTCCTGGACATTTGCCTCTTGTGTCTTATTGGTAACATGACCCTGTAAGGGTACAACTAAGATACATTGTCCTGTGCAAAAAACAATACAGTACAGAAGTTAAGAACATGGACTGGATCTCCTACTAGTTGAGAAGCCTTGGTGAAATCATTCATTTAACTTCTCTGTTCCTCTGTGTCCTCATCTGTAAAACAGGAATAATCACAGATCCATCTCCTAAGACTGTTTTGGGAATTAAATTAAAAAATTACTGGGGTGCCCAGGTGGCTCAGTCCGTTAAGTGTCTGCCTTTAGCTCAGGTCATGGTCCCAGGGTCCTGGGATCGAACCCCACATCAGGCTCCCTGCTCAGCAGGGAACCTGCTTCTCTCTCTCCCTCTGCCCATCTCTGTTGCTTGTGCTCTCTCCCTCAAGTAAATAAGTATCTTTTAAAAAATAAAAAATTAAAATTTTTTAAGAAGGGATACATGTGGTCTTAAAACTCCAATTATATAAAATGTGGTACATTGTTACATTAGGCTGGGTATCCAGTTACACAATCCAAATACATTCTGGTACTGGCTCTGGTTTTGTGCTGTTTGGTGGTGGTTTAACATTATTATTATTTTTTTAAGATTTTATTTATTTATTTGACAGAGATCACAAGTATGCAGAGAGGCAGACAGAAAGGCAGGCAGTGGGGTGGGGGGTAGAGCAGGCTCCCTGCTGAGCAGAGAACCTGATGCAGGTCTAGATCCCAGGACCCTGAGATCATGACCTGAGCCGAAGGCAGAGGCTTAACCCACTGAGCCACTCAGGCACCCCGTGGTTTAACATTATTAGAGATAATTCCAAACCTGGGCATTGTCTGGGACTTCCAAAATAAGGGCATGTCCTGGTTTATTGATGGCCTTTTGTCAACCTGATCCAGGAAAATAAAGCCAGGAGACTACTGGGAACACAAGTACCCAACTTTCTCTTCCTGCTTCCTGAGAAGTTGCCTGCTCTTTCTAGCTCATTCTACATGATCATTCCTGCCCTACACCTAAGATTCTACTCTTTTTGAGAAATGGGACTAGGTAGAGGTCAGGAGCCAATCAAGTTATATCCAAATCCAAATTCAGTTCATTATGGGGTACTTTTCATGGGGGGTTACTATATATGTACTACATATAAAATAATTCAATGCACTCAGTAAGTATATCATAAGTGCTAGCTTATTATTTGTTTTCACTCTGCTAGGGTCAACAAGAAGTCAAAACTACATAGGATCAACCCATACTGTTTTGTGGCTCATGATAAACAACACGCCAACATATAGTTAACCTTCATGGCAAAGCAAAGATCACAAAATTTGGATTTAAAAATGAAAAGCTAGAGGGAGGGAAGAAAAAGGTAATCTTCACTATTAGCATTTATGGCCCTGATGCAAGCAACCAGTTTCATTTTTCCTGTAATATTCAATATGATGCCTTATTCAGTACCTCCAGAATTTTCCATGGTACAGTACATAGAAAGTAATGATCACCTCTGTACAACCAACTGGGGTATACAGAAGAGGCTGCTAGCAGAGAAGGCCATCTGCCCTTGGCCTTTCTCAGTCCCTTGAAAGCAGAGGCGCTCAGTATTATGGCACAACAGAAACCTATTCGAAGTACACCAAAGTGGCATGACCCACAAGTTGTGCCACAAGTTGACCCACAAGATCTTCCTCCTGTCACACTTCTACATCTAACATGGCTATAAATGAACCCGATTTATTCAATACACATTTAATCACAGAATACTTCATACATGGTAGGAACATTAGAATATTATTGCAAAGAAATTAGAGTTAATTTAATTCAACCTATTCATTTTACAAATGAAGAAACTCAGACCTACAGAGGCTGGGTGATTTGTCAAGACATACAGTCTCCAAGTCAGGACTTTAAAAGAATAAAGGCTGAAAGCAAAGAAATGTGAACATCACCTTTTACCCATGGCTAATACCAAATCAATGTTACTTGGGATATGGCAATTCTACTGGGAAATTAATGAGAAATCTATCAAGTTCTCAATTTTGAGGGGTTAATCAAATAGAAATAATGGCAGGAATAATACTAATTTATACTGCCTAAATGCTTTGTAGTAGACATTGCCGATGACATCTATTTCCTTCTTCCCTACTACAGAATCTTAATCTTGTTCCACTACCTACCCATCTCCCATGCATCTCTCTCAGGGAAGAATGATTTTATCCTCTAATTCCACTGGGTAAATCCTAACCCTTTTTGCTTGTAATTGGTTTTAAGGTGGGAATTTTGGCCATTGGGAGGTAGGAGAGAGGTCTGCTGGAGGGTTTCTGGGCCAGAGGGTTTCTGGGAAGAGACTCCTTACTACTGAAGAGATACTAGAAGTTTCAGAGCACCTGGCTGGCTCATTTGGTAGAGCATGTGACTCTTGAATCCCAAGGTCCTGAGTTCAAACCCCACATTGGGTTTGGTGTGGAGCCTACTTTAAAAAAATAAAGAGGGGGTGCCTGGGTGGCTGAGTGGGTTAAAGCCTCTGCCTTTGGCTCAGGTCATGATCTCAGGATCCTGGGATCGAGCCCCACATGGGGCTCTCTCTCTTATTTATTTGACAGACAGAGATCACAAGTAGACAGAGAGGCAGGCTCCCCCTCCTCTCTCTGCCTGCCTCTCTGTCTACTTGTGATCTCTGTCTGTCAAATAAATAAATAAAATCTTTAAAAAGGTGATATAAAATTTTAAAAAAATAAAGAGAAAGAAAGAGAGGAAAGAAAGAAAAATGGTCTCTTTCCATCTCTAACTGTAGTTATGTCTGTTTTAATGTCTGAAATTCTGTAGCTGTCCTCCATCCTAAGGGAAGCCAGCCCAAGGACAAAGCCAATATCTAGAGGATGGCTGAGAGGAGAGATGGAAAGAATTTAGGCCAGTAAATGATGACATTCACATTCTTGATCCATGGAATCAACCAGCCCTGAAATCTTTACTTCTGAACTTCCTATCACGTAAGAGAATAAATTTTCTTTCTTGATTTATTCCCCTAAGTCAGTTTGAAGTGAGATTTTTCTATTACTTGCGACCAAAGGCATCTAAACAAGTAACATACGCTAAGTGCTTGAATATATGCTCTTCTATCCAATAATCCTATGGGATAGGTATAATTGTTACAGATGAGGAAATTGAGATTTAGATTAAGTAACTTACTTGAAGTCACATAACTAGTAGAACCATAATTTCAAAATGATGAACCCTTGCTTTCTATAACCCAAACTAATGTTTCATTGTATAATACATTAGGTGACTTAATAAATGTACTGTGATAAATGTAAAGTGATAAATGTACTTTCCTAATTTTTTTAAAATATTTTATTTATTTATTTGACAGAGAGAGATCACAAGTAGACACAGAGGCAGGCAGAGAGAGAGAGAGAGAGAGAAGCAGGCTCCCCGCTGAGCAGAGAGCCCGATGCGGGACTCGATCCCAGGACCCTGAGATCATGACCCGAGCCGAAGGCAGCGGCTTAACCCACTGAGCCACCCAGGCGCCCCTGTACTTTCCTAATTTTAATTGAATTTGATTAATATAAAAATTGTTTTTATTCCCTGTAGATACTGCTGACTGGGGCAAAGAGAAATGGGAGAAAATCATATAGGTCCTGGGTAACAGAGGGAAGCCAATTTATGATTTAAAGTGTTCAACAGGGGTGCCTGGGTGGCTCAGTTGTTAAGCGTCTGTCTTCAGCGCAGGTCATAATTCCGGGGTCCTGGGTCCTGGAATTGAGCCCCACAATGGGCTCCAGGCTCCCTGCCGAGCCTCCTTCTCCCACTCCCCCTGCTCGTGTACCTGCTCTCATTGTCTCTCTCTCTCTGTCAAATAAATAAATAAATCTTTAAAAAAAATAAAATAAAGTGTTCAACACTAATAAATACATGAACAGATAATCAAAGTGGTTTAGTACATGTAATTACATCTTAAATTCAAAGAGAACAGAAACAGAGAATTTGTCTAACTTCATCACCCTATCAGTGAACTTGTGGAAAGGAAGAAAGAAGGCAGCATTCACATCTAAGATGTACTCCTGAGTTAGAAAATTCTAAGTCCAATTGGGCTCCAGTCGTGGCTCTATCACTTCCTAGCTACATCCCTTCGGGCAAAATTGCACTTCCATATTTTTAGTTTCCTCATCTGTAAAATAGGGGTAAAAACAGTTCATATACCTCAGCTGTTATTGTGATGATAAAATGAAATAAAGTACATATAAATCCCCTGGAATCATCCCTGGCACAAAGTAAATACTCAATTAGGATTAGCTATGGTTATCATTATCATCATCACTTGAAAGAATAGACATCCTTTTTGAGGGGAGTAAATAAATTATCCACCCCATTCCTAGAAAGGAAAAAAGGAAATATGACACTATATTATAAAGTGTTCTTTATTAATAGATGAACTAAGGGAGACAAGTGGCAATAAGAACAGGCATATAAAAAAAAAAGAATAACAACAACAACAAAAAAACAGGGGTGCCTATGTGGCTCAGTCAGTTAAGCGTCCGACTCTGGACCTCAGCTCAAGTTTGTATCTCAGGGTCAAGAGTTCAAACCCACACTGGGCTCCATGCTAGGCATGAAGACTTCATAAGCAAACAAACAAACAAAACAAACATTGGAAGAAGACAGGAGTAATTTTTTTTTTAAGATTTTATTTGTTTATTTGACAGAGAGAGAGATCACAAGTAGGCAGAGGCAGGCAGGGCATTGGGGGTGGGGGGGAGAGCAGGCTCCCTGCTGAGCAGAGAGCCCAATTCCGGCTTGATCCCAGGACCCTGAGATCATGACCTGAGCTGAAGGCCGAGGCTTAACCCACTGAACCACCCAGGCGCCCCAGGGAGTAAGTTCTTACACCAAAATTGGGAAAAGTAGAATTCAAGCTCAGTTTTTATTTTGGATTATCTCTAAAATTCCATAGATCTTGAATTAAAGGTTTCCAGATACCAAAGAGACATAATGAAAGCAGAAAAATAGCAACAAAAACATAAACATACACATAGAATCAGTGACTGAGACATAGGGAACATATAATACACAAGAGCGATAGAGAATAAACAGAAGGAGGTACAGACAGGAAAGAAAAGAATTGTTGCTCTGTTTTCCAGTGATTTACAAGACTTCCCAACCAGCCAGTTTTTCCAACCCCCACTCTCCTTCCTTTCAACTCCCAGTAACTTACATTGAAAGACGCCAGAGCTTCAGAGACACTCTTCTCAATGAACTCATCAGTAATTCTTCGGGAAGGATGTTCATTAAACACAGAGTTCATCAGTGCAATCTTTGCAGCACTCCGCCGGGCCTCAGCTTTTGTAGGGCAAAACTAGGGAGAGCAGAGAAAGAGAAAACATGTCCATGCGTATATCTAAGAGAGCAGAAGGAATGGTGGGAGGGGAAACACTGGGAAAGAAGAGGCTGGGACAGTCTTCGGATAAATCAGTTCATTCAGCACAACCTCCAAAGTTTGTATTGTAAAATGGTTGAGGCATTTGGAAACATAATTTTGATTCAACATCCTGAAGTCATTAAGGAACTGGAGACGGCGATAGCTCATACCAAATTGAATGCAGAATGAGGAAGGCTGCTGAAGTCAGCACATAACCACTGGATATAAAAAATATCCCTGTTTAAACTGTCGACAGAATTCATTACTCAAAAGCCAGATTCTGCCCAGCCCGTTCAAAATCTCTATCTTGTTCTCCTGTTCTGTGCACAGGCAAGATTTGTCTTCATGCCTCTAGATACCCTAAGAGTAGAACAAATCTGTGTCTAGGTTGCTTCTGCAGAGAAGAACTCTAGTCTCTACCAGAAGCACCCATCTGGGGTTCTTGGACTTTGCTTTTAGCTTCAAGCCGGCATTTCCCCCAGTAATGCCGTGAGTCAATGAGCTATCCTTGAACAGAGTCCAAGATCTGAAGGAATTTATAGTCTTTTTTTTTCCCCAGTCTTTCCTTCCCCCAAGGGGAAGGAAAGCTGACCTGAACAAACCAAGAAAAAATTAAAAGTTAATTCATGTTTTTTACGTTGTATCCAACATGGGTATCATAGAACAAGTCTGATTTTCAGAAGTCTTAAATCACTCAACCTTAAATCCTCAGGCACTATAACATTCCTTTATAATTCATCATCATCATCACTGGCAGCCTCAAAGTCCTCTGTGGCCTCTATCATTTATGATTAGGGTTAGAGGAAAGGAAGGAAGTAATGTTACAGTTTTTAAAAGTCGATCAGTGTATGTTCACTAATTAGCTACCCTCAGTATCGATAACTCCCAATTTCTTTGAGCTGACAGGTCTCTCAGAATATGGTAGTTGGTGCATTAACCTTAAGTCATCTTCTTCAATTTCTCTGTTCACTAGCCTGTCTCTCTACTCACTAGCCTGCTGTTCATTCTACAGTGTAGTGCTATTCCTGAAAAGTCATCCACGAAGAAAACCACCAGGAGAAATTTCACCTGCCAAAATGGACATAAGAGGTATAAGCTAAAAGAAGCCAAGATAGATAATTCTATTCTTTGTGGGGGGGACAGAAATCAAATTACTATGATGGTCCAGTTATGGACATCACCATAAAATTATCAGATCCTTATTCAGTAATAAGATGACCTGAGAGAAGGAAGATCTTATTCTCTAGAAGAGAAAGTATAAACATTAGTCATCATGAGCATATATTTATTTCTCTGAAATGGCTGGGCCTCTGAGGGAAAAAATTTAGTCACTGTATTTGAAATGAAGTCTCTTTAGGACTTTTCTGTTTGAGGCAGGAGCTGAACCACAATGGCCCTCATTCATGCCATGGATTTATTAAGTGCCTACTCTTTGCTGGGTGCTGAGTTGGTAGTAAGGATTTAAAATTGAACAAGAAAGAAGACAGATACTATCTCTGCCTCCACCAAGCATAATCCACTAGGTGAGATAATCAATTATGATATGTTGTGATAAGTGACATGATAAGGGAAGTTCAAGGGGCTCTGGAAGCACATAGCAGGGGTTATAACTTTGACAAAGGGTTATACAAACCATAAAACACAACAAAATGTCTATCAGATATCTCCTCTAAATTTCTATTCAGACTCTAAGTTGACATTTCAGAAGGCTACCTTCCTATGGGTGATGTCAAAGAATCTTTGATTGACAATATTCACACTAGTCAAATTTCTTTTCCTTTCTTTTGTCATTATGTTCAGTTAGCCAGCACACAGTACATCATTAGTTATTCAGTGTTCAACGATTCAAAAATGTGGAACACTTTACGAATTTGCATGTTATCCTTGTACAAGGGCCATGCTAATCTTCTCTGTATCGTTCCAGTTGCAGTATATGTGCTGCCGAAGTGAGCCCTCTTCTTTTTTTTAAATAAAAACAATCCCACAGCATTTATTGTGCTCTGGTAATAACTTAAAGGTAACCAAAACAATACAAACAAATGTTTTAGAACTACTCCCAACAAGCGACCTCTAAAAAAACAAACTACATGGTCTTCTCGAAAATTTCTCACTTCACTGATCATTTCTAGTTTGGAGACACCTTGGAGCAGGGTAATATTATCTCCTTTTAACATGTTCTGACCCAGTTGTTTTCTTGACTTTGTTCTAAAACGAATCTCTTTGGCATCCTCTAATACAAGGTTCATGTACTCATCAAAACCAGTGATACAGCCCTCAATCCGCATGTTCGCTTGCTTATGAAGCCAGATCTGAATTAGAGATCTATTTTGCAAATATCTGAAGATGAGGATGATGGACTGCACCATCACCTTCTGCAACTTCTTGGCCCTGGCCACAGTACGTCACGGTGGAAGTCAACAAAGACTGCTAGTCAAATTTCTTATTATCCTATAACAGCAACCACTGTTCATCATCCTATATCACAGTTCTTTCACAGAACTGTAGAGTGCTAGCACTAGAAAGATTTTAAAAATAATCTAACTTATCTCCTTCTTGTTATAGATGGGCAAACTGAGGCCCAGAGAATTTACCTGACTTGCCCTCCTGGCAGTGAGGAAAATAAGAATTTGGATCTTCTCTTAGATGAGTACTATCTCCACCATACATAGTCCCTCCCCTTTGACCTCTTAAAGAACTGAAACATTGCTTTCTTTTAGTAATTGCCTATGAAGAAACCCTGGGGGCAAGGAATACTATTCTGTGTTCTCAAATCGAGATGGTAGGAAGATGGATGGCCAGATTAGAACATGGGCTAGGTGCTGGTAGTCTGATACACAGAGAAAGGGCCTATTCATAAGGGATCCGATTGAAAGTGGACGTGGTTTTTTGGAGGCTGGAAGAGAAGCTACCGAGGTTCTTTTGTGGCTAAATGAACCTCAGAGGCTTACCAGAATGATCTGCCCAGAACTGGTTCAGGTGCTCAAATATGTGATTTCAGACACCAAAAAATGGCCAAAGTGATGGAGAAAACCACTACTAGCAGCCAAGCATTTATCTTTGCTACTGCCTGCTTGCAACTCTTACCTGGAAACTCCCAAAGCAGCTTCCCCCAGGCAGAGTGACATAGCAGACGTAAGGAGGACTGTTGGAGGGAACCATCTCATAAACCACCAGAGCCCCATTCTTCAAGTCTGCCCCACGGGACTGCTTCATCTGCCAGAATTCCTGAAGTGCCTCCACCACATTCACTACAAAAAGAGAAGCAGTTAAGTTCAGCAATGAGTGGTTCTACGTTTCAAGACAGTATCTGCCAGCTGTATGTATATCAAGAGTCTAACCTGCCTTAGCTCCTTATCACCACTTAAAAGCATTTAAATTAATAAACCTAGACTCTGATTAAGGTATTTGCATAGCAAGACCAGTATATGCCTGGCCTCCCTCCCCATCTCGCTGGTTCACATTTCGATTAGTCCTAAGCACCAAAGCAGAATAACTAAAATATTGGAGGCAGAGTTTCCAGGTCAGCAGACCATTATCCCTGCCTGATGAAGTGCCATTAGATCATTCCACAGTTGGTCAGGTGGCCTAGAATAATAATCACCAGCACAATGAGAAGTGCATTTACCGAACTCTTCCTGTGTGTTGTGCCCCCATTTTACAGATGAGTGAAATGAGACACAGGCAAGTTAAATAACTTGCCCAAGGATGTAACAGCTAGGGGTGCCTGGGTGGCTCAGTCAGTTAAGTGGTTGCCTTAGGCTTGGGTCATGATTCTAGGGTCCAGGGATCCAGGCCCCCCCCCCGCCCCCCCCATGCATTGGCGGGCAGGGGAGGAATCCCTGCTCAGCGGGGAGCCTGCTTTTCCCTCTGCCTCTGCCTCTGCCTCTTCCCCCAACTCAGTCTCTCTCTCTTTCTCTCATTCTCAAACAAATAAATAATTTTTTTTGAAAAAAAGGATGTAACAGCTAGAAAGTAGCAGAGTAAGAATTCAAATCCAGTCTATCTTGGTTCCAGAGTCAATGTTCCTAACCTTTGTGCAATACTGACACTCAAAGAAATGTGGCCCTTTTAGCCATCACAGGTCCATGCTTCTGGTGAGCAAACCCATAGCCAGATTCCTTTCCCATCCTGGAATATTATACATTTTGTGTATATATATACTATACTGTGTGTGTGTGTGAGAGAGAGAGAGAGAGAGAGAGAGAAAGAGAGAGAGCAAGAGCATGAATTTCTCTTCTGAGGATTTCCCTAGGTAAAAGTGATTTTTGGAGGAACACTCCTTCACAGGTCTCTTATGCTCCTTTCCATCTTGCTGGGTATGCCAAGATTTTAAGGACTTGGTTGCTCTTTCCTTGGGCCATTTCTCAGGACTGTGTTTGCAGCAAGAAACCTGAAGGATGAGGTAATGTCTTCCTCTGGGACAAAGAACAAGCCTGCTTACTCCCTACTAAGACATGGCAAGTTCCCCAAACTCAGTGTTTGTTCTTCTGTAATGCAACACGTGGCCTACAGGAGCACGCACCTGAACCCTTCGCATCAGATGTGGGAGGCAAGGGGAGCTGATGCAAACAAATCTGATGTTTATGCTACCTGCTGTACTGTGAGTAATTAAGTCCTCTGTCTCTGACCCAGAAGTCTCTTGACTTCCGCCACCATCTGTCAAACAGTAATCTGCTAATATATGAGGGTAAAATCAATCTCAAAACTCAAAACCAGACTCAAAATACTGTATTCCAGAACAGTCCCCTCCTCCCCCAATACTTGGGCTCAATAATTGCACAATTATGTATTGAGTACCTACTCTGTGCTAGACTACTTGCCGGATGCTAGGCGACAATAGTGAGCAAAACCATATCCTGTTCCGTCTCCTTATGCAATTTACAGTCTAAAGAGGGAGAGAGATTAACCAGAGACCCTCAAACAAATGAAAAACCGCAACCTTGATAAGCACTATAAGGGAGTTTGGTAGATGATGGGAAATGTCATGGAGGCATCTGACCTCGTTGAGAAGATCAAAGCAAGCTACACTGACAAAGTGATATTGAAGTACAGATATGAGTATGAATTCACTAGGCAAAAAGGTGAGAGAATAGAGCTCTGAACAGAAGGAACAACATACCCAAAGGCTCTGTAGCAGCAGAGAAGATGGCAAATAAAGGGACAAGTGTGGCTCGAAAAGAGAGAGTGAGGGCAAGTGTAATGCAAGTGAGACTGCAAAAGTTAGCAGGGACCAGACCAAAGTGAACCTTGCAAGCCTCATCAGAACACTGGCTTTATCTTAAGAGCAGCGGGAAGCCATTGAAGGGTTTAGGCTGAAATCAGTTTTCCTTCGGAAAGGATCACTTTGACTGCAGGGTTCCAAACATTTCAAGTGGCTTTAACAAGAGCCTCATCATAATAAATGATCACATGCATTCTCCCATATCCCCCAACATGGCCGCTCTCTACTCGTAGTTACAAGGACTTATTCATTCTTTTATAGTGTGTTAGTTTAGGTCTGCCAAGGAGAAGACACCAAGATGGGACAGACAAGCAAGAGATTTATTGTGGAGGAAGTAGGAGACGGCAGAGGCTTCGGATGATGTTGAAGGTATGACACCTGTAGAAGAGGCTGTGGGAAGGAATGAGGTCTGGATGTGAGAATCTCAGTTGGCAGCGTAGTTCCAAGAAAGGTTTGGCCAGGCCAGTGGGAAGCCCCCAAGCCAAAAGAAATCCACATATCACCAGGATGTGCGTGAGTTATTGTCCCTGCTAGGCCTTGTCACTGATTGGAGGGGGAGGGCAGCCACAGGATGTGTGGCCTCAGTGCACACGAGGTGATGGACACAGAGAGGACAGCAGCTTAAGGCTGTCAGTTATGCCCCTGCAGCAGGAGATATGAATAGCACATTTTCATGGCTGCCAAACACACATTAGGCAGAAATGTGAGCACATAATATGTCCCTAGCTCTATTCTGAGCATTCAAGATGCAGAGATGAATAATACACCTTGCCGGCCAATGAGGCATCCAGAATCTTGTTGCCAGCAACAACCATTAGCTCACCTGCTCTGCAACTGAAGCAAGCACTCCTTGCTTCAGCCGCGGTGTGAAAGGCGCACAAGCTCTTTCCTAACACCCTGTATCTGACTTCTTACAGTGTTCATTCTTCCATTAAAAGGCAGCATGAAAAGGAAACTCTGTCTTTCCCACCCTTAGTTTTGGCAGGGGCTCTTCAAAGGTCACTGGGCCCAGAAAGCTTAGCCATCTTTTTGTCCTTTCCACTGAGATCTTTTCAGCCCCAGTTCCCTCTTTGAGACAATTTAGCACAATGCACTGGGTGACAGTTTTCCTGACATGCACATAACAGGGAGAATATTGAAATAAAGGGAAAGGGGAGGAAACCACTGCAACCGGGAAGGTCCTATTAAAAAGCCTATATCCAGTCTATTGCCAGTTAAATTTCTCTTGGCTCACAGCACAGGACTATTTTTTAATGATTACTCAAAGCCAAAGGAAATGGGGAGTCTTGTTTCAGAAATGGATGAAATGGGAAATTGGGCAGAATGATCAGGAGAAGAGCAATTAATTGTGATCCTCATTTGAAACTGCTCACAGACTCATTGATCTTTAGAGCTGACAGGGATTTCAGAGATCATCTGAACTCAGGCTACAAAAGGGGAAGTGACCTGCTTGAGGTCACCTGCTGTGGCAGAGCTAGGGACTGAATTCAGACATCCTGATGCCAGGGTTCTTTCCAATTTGGGATTCTTAACCCAGGGTCCAAGATCAAGTCCATGACTGAACTTCATGGGAGTTCACAAGCCCCCTAAAACCCACAATGAAATCATGTGTATATGTTCTTTCACAGTTCTGGAGGCCAGAAGTCCAGAAGTAATGATGGACCAAAATCAAGGGGTCAGCAGGTCTGTGTCTGTAGTACAGACACATCTGACAACTACAATTGCTTTTTAGAAGTAACTGGAGATGCTGGGCTAAAAGAGAATGTGCCCCTGATGGCCCAGTGCATAGTCTTATTTGAAGGGAGGGATGACAAGATGACTGTGACTTATGACAAGGACTATGGGAGGCTGAAAAATGCCCCCTGCTAAGATGTCCATGCCCTAATCCTTAAAACTGTGAATGTTACCTTAGGTAGCAAAAACTTTGCAGATGTGATTAAGGATCTTGGGATGGGGACTCCAGAACTGTGAAAGAATAAATTTCTGTTGTGGTAAGCCCCCCCGCCCCAAATTTGCAATAATTTGTTAGAGCAGCTACAGGAAACTAATATAGGGTCTAATCCAACATCCCCCAAAATGGAAATATTCAGACTATCAATTTAGCCCCACAATCACTTGTACATAAAGAACTTGTCTGTGATTCCAATGAAAAGGAACAATAACTAAACAGAAAATACTACACAAGGTCCATTTGTTCAACCTAGGGAAGCAGCTGGGCAGAACTTCCAATCATGTAGCCATACTGTGATATAAAGGGAGAACAATAATTCTGAAATGATGCGCTTGAAGAGGGCAATGCAGAAGTTACAGGGTAAGGAAAGTGACTGCCAGTTGTCAAACATTAGAAGGGGACTACATGTCACGTGCAAAAAGGGGCAAAGGAAATGCGAATGCTACCAATACCTCTCACCTACAGTTTTCAAAGGGTTTCCAAAAGCATAATAATAATAGCAACCACTCACTGAGTACCAACTATGTGCTCATTATCTCATTTAATCCACACAAAACTAAACTATCAAGGTAAGTATTATAATACCCATTTTGCAAAAAGTGAACAAGAAGACACCTGGCAGACTCATTCAGCAGGACATGCAACTCTTGATTTCGGAATTGTGAGTTTGAGCCCGATGTTGGGTGTAGAGATTACTTGACAATAAAATCTTAAACAACAAAAAACAAACAAAAAAAAAGTGAACAAATTAAGGAACAGGCCATGGTGGCTGGACCAGGATTTTAGAACCAATGTTTGTTTGCTTCAAAGCTGACCCTCTGTCAATTGCCCTATCTTGCCTTACTGCACCATTAACCCTCACACATACTTGTGGACTGTGAGTTCCATGAAGATAGGGACGGAGTATCTGTCTTGTTCACAACTGCATCTGGTGATCAATAAGTACTTGTTGAATGAATGAAGTAGATGAGGCCTAGAGAGATTAAGCGATTTATCCACAATTACACAGCCACTGTTTCACGGGGTGAGGTACTCTGATTTCAAACTCTATACACTACAAGCTAATTAAGATCCTACAGCATACTGGGGTGCCTGGGTGGCTCAGGGGGTCAAAGCCTCTGCCTTCGGCTCAGGTCATGATTTCAGGGTCCTGGGATCGAGCCCTGCATCGAGCCCCGCATCGGGCTCTCTGCTCAGTGGGGAGCCTGCTTCCCTTCCTCTCTCTGCCTACTTGTGATCTCTGCCTGTCAAATAAATAAATAAAATCTTAAAAAAAAAAAAAAGATCTTACAGCGTACTGAGCTAGGTGTGTGTCTTGGGTGGAGACTGGGGTGTGTGTTTTGAGGGGGAGATATAGGACAAACAAGTGAAATAATAGAATAGTTTCATTTTTGTGTTTTCAAAATAAATGCTGAGGTCCTATACGGATGCAGGTAAATCTAAAGGCAGAAAAGGTAAATTTGAAGCAGTCAGAAAGAAGGTGAAGGATGTGAATTGCAGAAGATACAGTAAAGCACTGCTGGATCAGATAAAGGTCTGGGCAAAGATCAAAGTAAATTATACTCAGGGGAATAGTGCCAGCCCCCAAATACCAGGCCATCAGTCACAAGGGTACATGGGTACATGCCAATGGCAGTTTTGCCCATTAATTGAAGCAGAATAAGCAATTCCATGTGGTGAAGGACTTCTGAGCCAAATCGGCAGAGATTCTGCTTGTCTGAAGCTGAACTATCTGCCAAATTCTCCCAAAGTACTGGCGGGACACCCAGACTGGAAATGAGAAACTCAGAAATAATGGGGAGTGCGGTGGGAGGTAGGGAGGTTGGAGGAAGGCATCACCACAGAGTCTGAAGCCTGACTGATTGCTCTTTGTCAGTAAAATCCCCTTGCTCCTTCATCCTGTCTAAGGAAATGAAAAAGGTTTTACAGGACACTCAGTTTAGATGCCAAACCAGAGGCTCTCTAGGTAACACAGACATGAAAAATGGTTCATTCCTCTACAATTCTAATAAACGCCTGTAAGTTTCTAAGAGGAATGTTTCGTGAGGATGACTGCTCCTATGCCCAGAGGAAAAGACCTTCCCTTGGTCTCAACTTAAAAAGACTGGAAGCAGCAGGACCATAGCTGATGACAGTTCCATCACGAAGCCCTGTTAAATCTAGGAATTTAACTAGACAAATAATGATATTCCTTCGTGATGAATTTCAGAATCACATGCATTTGCATTCCAAGCACCTAGCAGAGTGCCAGCCCCATGGTAGCAGTTCAAAATGTTGAAGAACAAAAGGAAAGTAATGGGAAACGTATCATTGGGCACATCTAACAAATGGAGCTAAAAAAAAATCTGTTTTCATAGGAATCTTTGTGTTTACACTGTTTGGATTGAAGAATGGGAGAAAATGAGACCTGTTCTTTCCAAGAAAAGATGAACCAACAAATCTGAGGCGATTCTCATCATTTATAGAAGGTACCCATTATGTGTCAGCTGTAATATCTCATTTAATCCCCCTTGTAACCCTTGAGGAAACTGAAGTGTGGTGAAGTTGTCACTTCCCCAAAAACATAGCTGGCAAGTGACAGAGATTTAATCTGGGATTTAATTCACATTTGTCTGACTCCAAAACCCGCATATGCTCTTTTCACTACAGTTTCATAGGAGGGGGGAAAAAAAGTCACTGCTGTCCATTGAGAAGGCCTTACAACCTTTCTCTGTATTATTGTCTTACTAGAAAGTTAGAGATATAGTCACTTTCAGCTCAGGCAGGATTTAAGAAGCAGAAAGAAGTGATGTCTCAGAAATGCCAGACCTACATTTTGAATCCCACACCCCTCACTGTATTGTGTTCCTTGTTACACTATAAATCTGGAGCTCAAATGCAGGAAAATCTGCACTAATTAAACATAAACAACAAAGAAAACCGTCACATTCCCCTTCTCAGAAACCCTAGAAATTAGGCATATGTAAAATGAAGGTTTCTAATGGAAATAGGGTTTCTGCCTGGCTCATTTCCACAGAATTTAACATTGAGAGAGCCAAGGCCTAGGATTTATCCTCAGTTCCTGGGCAAGGGCCAGGAAAACAGAGCCAGACAGGCAGAGAGGCCAAAGTTGTGAGGCTCCATACTAAAAAGGACACCAAAGTGAGATACTAAGTCATAGGAAGCTGGTGTGGGCTCAGTAGTATGGTTCCAGATTCAAAAGCACAATTATAAGTGACTTGTGAAGGCATCACCTAACTCCCCAGCAAATCCGAAGTTGCACTGGAAATTTCAGAGTCAGGATAAGTAAGAAAATAATTCAAAAGTCAAGATTAAGGAGGCGGATGGGCACCTGACTGGCTCAGTGTGTGGAGCATCTGATTCTTGATCCCGGGGTTGTAAATCTGAGTCCCATATTAGGAGCAGAGATCACTTAAGAAAATAAAAATCTTAAAAAAAAAAAAAAAAGATTAAGGAGGTGGAATAAGTTAATAGGGGAGCCCAGGAATTGCCAAAATCACAACAGAAAGATTGAGAGGGTATGGATGAGAAATGTCTTAAAGCTGACATAAAGGATAGGATCCTACACAATGGGGACTGGTCCTCAAAGGCAAAGGGATGTTAAGCTACAGGAAGAATTCCATTTCTGAAGGAGAAAGGGTGGGAAGAAAAGATGGCTGTATTTGTAAAAAGGGGTCCCTGGAGAATATATTAGCAATATAGTATTAACTCAATAAAGGGGAGTGGGTGAGACGTGTGTATGAGTGTGTGCCGGTGTGTGTGTGTGTGTGTGTGTGTGCGCGCGCGCGCGCGCGCGTGTGCCTCTGTGTGTGTGTGTGTGTAGCCCAGAAGGAAACTCCCCAAAAGGAAATGCATGTGAGGGCTCTGCGCCAGAAAAAGCGATCCAGAGGACTATGGGAGCAAGGCTCCTTTACAGACGGTGTCCCGCAGGAGGCCAGACCCGCAGACTCACCTCGGCCATAGCCCTGCGTGTGCTTGGCGAAGCTCCTCACCACGGCCTCCACGGCCTCCCGCAGCACCGCCGGGCTGCCGGCAGCGCCCGGGGGCAGCGGCAGCCCAGGGGCCCCGGCTAGGAGCAGGGGCGGCGGGGGCGGTGCAGGGGGCGGCGGTGCGGGCGGGGGCCCTGCTGGGGGTGTGGCGGTGGTAACCGCCGCCCCAGTCACTCCGGGCCGAAGCGCTCGCAGAGTACCCCTCCCGCTGGTGCCCACTCCAGGCTGCAGTCGCTGTGCTCGCATCGTCTCCATCTCGGCCGCCAGTGGAGTAGCGGCCCGGAGCCTGCCAGCCTGGCGAGCTAACGGTCCCAGCCACCCCCTCCAGCGAGCGCCCAGGGACTGAGGCGGTGCCGGGGCCCAGCCGTCAGTCAAGAGGGGGCGGGGACGAGCCCGGTTCTATGCCAATCACCAGAGACTGGGCGGGAACTGGAGGGCTCCAGCTCTGCCATAGGCAAATCATTGAGGAGGGCGGAGGTTCTGGGCAACCAATTGCAAAGAGAAAAAGCGATACTCTTTATAAGGGAGAAGCTTATCTTGGGCGCTTCTTCCGAGTCCTGCGGGGAGTACTGGAAAGCAAGCCAGACCCCTGGAACGAAGCTTGCCGTGGGGCGGGCGGGGAGGGGCGTACTGAAGGCGGGGGGAGTCCTGGATGTCAGGCTGAGGAGAATTGTAGACAGAGTAAGAGGATTTTTAGGGATCATTTGTCTGACGACTTCATTTCATGGATGGAGATGAGGAAATAGATAAGTTACGGGAGTTGTCCAAGATCACATGCAATGGGCGGTGGAGCTAAAACAAGGAAAGAATACATTTAATGACCATATGCTTACTATATGTCGGGCACTGCGCAGTATACTTTAGTGCATTGTCTTATTTAATAATCACAACGACTAGATTTTATTACTTTACAGATAAGGAAATGGACACTAAGAGAGGCTAGATAAATTGCTCAAAATTAAAGCTAGGAGGTGGCAAAGAGGGGTTCAGACATAGGTCTTTTGATTCCCAATATTTTGATCTTTTCGTTATATCACACATCGTTAGGTAATTTTCTGATTTTACCTACTCTGATTGGGGGAAATCAAGAGAAAGAGTGGAATGGGCTGCTCCCTTACCTCCCATTAGAGTGAGGAATAATAAGAATATATGCAGAAAGCAGAAAACTGAGAAGTCTAGGGGCAGATTAAGACAGTTACCCTGTCGATAACTTGTTAGGCTGGGTTCTTCAGATTACTCTTGTACACACATACACACACAGATACATACTACACATCCTTTGTCAGTTAACCATCATGCCATTCTTACCTAGGTGAGGTTTTACTACTTTTCTCTCTCTCCTTTTCCTCCCTCTGCAGTGGCTCAGGATGGGGAAAGAAAAGTCAGAAGTAGGAAAAAAAACAAAAACAAAAACGGGGGCACCTGGCTGGCTCAGTCAGAAAAGCATGCTACTCATGATCTCAGGGTTGTGAGTTTGAGCCCCACTTTGTGTGTAGAGCTCACATAACTAAAAATGTTTTTTAAGGGGCTCCTGGGTGGCTCAGTGGGTTAAAGCCTCTGCCTTCAGCTCAGGTCATGATCCCAGGGTTCTGGGATCACCCGCATGGGGCTCTCTGCCTCCACCTCTCTCTCTCTGCCTGCCTCTCTGCCTACTTGTGATCTCTGTCTGTCAAATAAATAAATAAAATCTTTTTTAAATTTATTTTAAATAAAAAAATAAAAAGAAGTAGAAAAAAATGGGGTGCCTGGGTGGCTCAGTGGGTTAAGCCTCTGTCTTCGGCTCAGGTCATGATCTCAGGGTCCTGGAATCAAGCCCCACATTGGGCTCTCTGCTCAGCGGGGAGCCTGTTCCCCCCACCACTCTCTGCCTGCCTCTCTGCCTACTTGTGATCTCTTGTCTGTCAAATGGGGAAAAAAAAAAAAAAAGAAGTGGAAAAAAATGGATGAAATTCACCTGATGAGATGAAAATTAGAACCCCCAGGAATAACTAGGAATGGTCATGAAATAAGAAGCTTGAAAGAGGGTCAGTCGATCTACTGGGATATATCTGTTGGTGGTGGGAGGTAATTTGTGTAGGAGGTACTTTTGTAGAAATCTTAAGTTAAAGAATTTAAGGATGGACATAGGGGAGATTGAGTGAACTGAAAGCCTGTCAAATGCCTTAAAACCTTCAGGACACAGGACACTTGTCTTTTCTTCTGCAACCACAGTTGGTCAGTTGGTCTCCTGCAAGGAAGTGGCTGGAACCTCTAAGTATCCCCTAGATCATTAAAGCTATAGTTAGCATCACCCTCCCTCCCCATTCCTCATTCCCCAAACCCTCAGGCAGAAGTGACAAACCAAAGACTTCTGAACACATTTATTTGATATGTCAAGTGGAGAGAGGAGTGATTTAGGGTTACTCCCCACTTCTACCTGTGGGGGTGTTCATAAGCTCAGACAGAAGAGCAGCATAGAGCCCATGACCCACTCCTTGGGAAAATGAGACAACCTGCTGTGTTGGTTGGGGGAGGAAGGTGGGAATAAAAAGCAGGAAGTTGAGAAGTAAAGCTGAGAGCCAGAAGGGTAGCAGCAGAACTGAGGCTGAGGATTGCTGCAGGAAAATCCCAAGGAGGGTGAAGAAGATATCCTGAAAAGTGGTTAGAGCTGGAAGCAGGGTGTGAACAAGGAGCCAGGCCTGGAGAGAGAAGCAAGACCTACACAACGGGATGGGATATCCAGGAAGAGGGTAGATGTGCAAAGTCATGAACGGGCTGTTGCAGGGCATAACATGGAAAGCAGGGGACTGCCTCTGCAAAAGGGCAAAGAGATTGGAGACTATCCATAAGTAGGGTTTTCCTACTGCTTCTGAACGAATGCAAGTGACTTTGGGACCCACTTGGGGCCCTAGCACAAGTGGCCCTGTGTGTGCCATTTCTATGGCTGGGTACACAAGTATTCCCATATGCATGTGAAGTGACCAGGACATGAATGCATGTGTCTATATGCCCAATAAAGAGAGTACTTACCCTTCCCTGCGAATAAGAGTACTGTGCTTGTGGACACTTTTTTTACTCATGTGTGCGTGCACCGTGCCCAGCAGCACATGCAAAAGACCCCTATGTCCGTGGTGTGTGTGTGAGCTGGTTCTCCCACCTGTCCCATCAAGGTCCTGATCCCTACGCTCCTTGGTTCCTCTCACTCGTCTCAGCGCCCTGGCTCCCCTGGCCCGCCTAGACTCTGGAAGCCCCCTAGCAGGCGGATCTGCTCAGTCTGCATTGAGTGGCGCCTCACCAACTTGCGTTTGGTCCTAGGAGAGCCTGGCGCCCCCGCCTGGGGAGGGGCGGGCAGCGAAGGCGCCCGACCTCCGGGCTGGGGGCGAATGTCGGGGATGGGAGGGTGGGGGCTGACGTTGAGCGGAGGCAGGAAACCAGGCCGCGTTTGCGCGATGTGGTCCAGGAGCAACGTCCCCGAGCCCCTCCGCTCCAGCAGCCCGGGACTCCGCCTCCGTCCGCTCAGCGGAGATACAGCCCCCGGCAGACTCTCCTGAGACTGGCGCGGGGAGGGAGCCGAGCCGGCTGGAGGGAGGGTCAGCGGGGAGGCGCTGTATCGGCGGCGCTCCAGGGACAAGCGGCTGCACTCCGGCGAGTCGGGGCAAATATTTCCGGGGGTATCGAGCTCCACCGGCTCCATGCGGCTCAGTTTCTGCCTCAGCCCTGAAGGCGGACCAGACTCCTGAGCTTCAGGCGCAGTGTTTCGGCGAGAGAGAGGACCCCCACCCGTCACTTTCTCCGCCCACGGGGGCGGATCCTCCGGACCTTCAGTGCTGTGACGCCTGGAAAGACGGGGTCGACTGGTCAGAGTCAGGCCGTTGAATTCCGCGGTCAGGCGCTCGATCCCCGGCCTCCCTTCCGTGGGTGGGACCGGTTGAGGAGGGGCCACTAGGCCCCAGGGCTCGGAGTTGAGCCTTTTGAGAGGTTTTGGAGGGTGACGGGGTGGTTTGGGGAGCGGCTCAGAAGGGGAGGAGTCATCAGGGGGCTTAGGAAGAGGGAATTCGAATACGTCCCGCTTCTCCTCTTCTTCCTGAGCGCGAGGGGACAGCAACCCCCGTCCTCCTCCTCCTCCTCCTCCTCCTGCTCCTTCTCCTTCACCTCCCCCTCCTCCTCCTCCTCCTGCAGTCTGCAGTTGGATTTCTGAAGGCGACGTGCAGACCCCGGGGCTAGGAGGAGCGGGAGCAGGGTCCTCCACCCCCGGGGACGGTGGGGAATTGAGATACTGCCGTGTCTTCTTGGTTCCCGAGGGCGAGGTGTCGGTGGTGATGATGATGACCTCGGTGCCCTTGGCCTTACAGGCGTCCAGCAGCGTGGCAAGGGTCTCGCGGTCCCCACGGTCCAGGGCATGAACAAGCGCCGAGGCGCCCGCGTGATCTCGCACAGAGGGGTCTGCACCGTGGGCAAGGAGCAGCGAGGCCACCGCGGCGCCCCCACCCCCGGCGCAAGCGTGCATCAGCGCGGTGCGCCCCAGGCGGTCTGCGATGTTGGGGTCTGCACCTTGCTCCAGGAGGTAGCGAACCATGCGCGCCTTGTTCTGGGGGTCGTCGTAACGGGCCCGACAGGCCGCCATTAGTGCAGTCTCCCCCTGGGCATCACCCTCATTCACGTAGGCGCCTCCCTCCAGAAGCAAACGGGCCAAGCGTAGCTTACCCTGACCCACGGCCCGAAGAAGAGCGTGGCCCTCGGTGTGCAGCATAGCTGCGGCAGGGGCGAGAGCACCAATGGAGCCGGGACTGGGGCCCGCCGAGGATGTCTAGGGGCGTGGGGGTGGTGGCTGGCGGAGGCCTGAGGGCTCAGTGGCGAAGTCAATCCCTGCGAGAAAGAGAGAGATCTTATTGACGGATTCAGGCAAGGAAACTGAGGCACCGGTGGAAGGAGACGGCGTGGGGAGATCTCCACGGCACTAGTACTTCCTCTAACTCATGCCTTTGAGCCGCCCCGGCCCCCCAGCGCATGCCTGAGAAGGTGGGAAGGGTGCACCCGCATTGAAGGACGAGCGCGCGTGCAAATGCGTACGTGCACGCGCAAGGATACCGCAACCCCACCCTCACCCCACGGCTTATCAGACCTTTCCAGCATCCCCCTTTTCTTATCCGCACTTGGAATACCCCTTTCTAGGATGCTGAACGCCACCCACCCACACACATGCACCCATACATTCACACACATAATTCCCATTCCTAACCTCTTTTAGGTTGCCACAGCCCCAAAAATTGAATGGGGGGAGGGAAGCAGCTTGCGTTTGGGACCTAAAACGGGTGGGGGAGAATTGGGGGGTTTCTTTTGCCCCTGCTATGTTCCCCATCACTCCTTGCTCTTTCCCTCCCAGGCTGTGCGCCCAAATAGATACCTGAATTTCCGCAGGATCTCCGCCGGGCCAGGACTGAGGCCAGGGCCATGGGGCAGCCTGGGTGGCGGAGCTGGGTTCCCGGGGGCCCACATGGCGTGGGGAGGGGCACTCGGATTCCCTTGGTGTCAGTATCTGCGCCCGGGCACCGAATCCTGGTCCCTCCTCCCGGTGCGCCCCGGGCAAGGCGCCGGCTCGGGAGGAGAGAAGCTGGGGGGGGGGGGGGGCGGAGCTCTGCCTTGCTATTTATAGCCTAGTCTCTGCTGGTGGGGGCGTTGGGCACCAAACCGTTCCCCCACCCATGCACACATAAAGCCTCAAACCCTAGAGGCTCCAATCCTGACTTCTCTTGCTCAGCCGACCTCCCCTCAGCCCCAACAAACCTAAATGTTTCTTAGGAGACTCCTCCGCGACTCAAACTGGGACCATCCCAATTCTTCGCTGAGCAGAGCCCCATTCTCCGCGATAGGTGTGTTTATGCGCGCCTATGCGCCCACTCTGACCTGCCACACACAGCAAATGGCACACTGTGCAGAGGCGGAGAAAGGCGATTGAGATCCACAGCCGGAGTCCATACTGCGCAGAGAGAAGCAAGAGATCTGGCTGCCTTCTTGTAGTTTACATGTCAGGGAGAACTGGAGCCAGGCACAGTGGTACATCCTCACTCCACCTCCGCCCAAACGGAACACACAGCACACGTAAACTTGAACCTCAGATCCCTTGTACAGACCTCAGATAAGTATGAGGAGAGTGGATATACTGGGTCATTTTTAGCTACACCAGGGAGCATTCCCAGATGCCTTCCTCCCCATATTCTTGGAGCGTGAGAGGGAGAGAGAAAAGGGGCAGAGAGAAGAGCGAACCTTGTAATACATCCCTTTCTCATTGCATCTCTTTACACTCAGTCTTGCTTAGACTCATTATTTTTCCAGGTTGCTTGAGGGTCTCTGTCCAATTGCTCCTTAAGTCTTCTCTCTGCCTATTTGTCGCAATCGTAATCGGTCTCTCGGCTGCCTGTCTCTGCCTCTCCTTGCCACCTGCCCTGTCTCCATGGTTACCATGCTTCCATCTGCATATTTTAGGAAGGAGTTTGTGTCCAGCTGGAAGGCATGAGGGGAAGTGGAAGATGAGGAAAAAATCCCAAGGATTTGGAAAACTCACCTGATATAATTCAGACTGGAAGCCACCAGACACAAGATACTAAAAATAGTGTTTCTGGAGAAGGAGGGGGAGAAATATTGCAGGGAAGCTACCCATTTGCACCAGCTACATTTGTTGGACACCAGCTGTATGCTAAGTACTTCACATGCGTTATTTCCAATCCTCAGAACAATCTTGTAAGATAGGCATCTCCTTGTTATCTCTTGTTATAGATGAAGAAACTGAGACTTACTAAAGTTAAGCAAGTTCTCCAAAGCCTCACAGCTTTGTTTCTGTCCTTTTCCAAAGACTGGGCACTTGCCACTACACCTGTAGCCTTCCAAGTCCAGAGGCTTCACTCCCAGGGCCATTTTCTCAGACATGTGGGACAGTCTTGACTGACTCCTAGGTTTTATCACCACTCTGAATTATTTTCTCTCTCCATTTCTGGGGTTGTTTTTGTGGTGTGTGTGTGTGTGTGTGTGTGTGTGTGTATGTGTGTGTGTATGAAAGTAGGATTCCTCTCCACCACCACCTCCCATCCACCCCCACCACCAAGGCCTAGGAAGAACTGAAAGGCAAGCGAAAATGCAGGAAACACTGGGCTCCTGTCCTGCCCCAACTCTGGTTCTCTGATTCCTAATCCTTCCTTCCCCAAACTTTCCTCCCAACTTCTCATAGACATGGCAGCAACCCACAAAGAGGGGGAAAATAGAAAAGAGGTATTCATTGGTGGTGCTGGAGGGAAGCCGTGTAGGATTAGAGGGAAGGTTGGAGTAATGGAGGGGCCAGGCTGTGAAGCCCGAGTCACAAAAAGACTGATCCTAACGAACAACCGTTTCATTTTTCTGTGGGAGCTTCCTCAACAGAGTCCCTCGGTGAGATCTAAGTGTCAGGTTCCGTCTGCGGACTCTCGCTAGCCAGCAGATCCCCCATCTGAGATGAGGTCGGAAAAAACCGACCCCTGGTTGATTTTGCAGCCCCATCTTCCTTCGCGCCGCCGGCGGCTTCCCAAGCCCGGGTTCAGGTTGAACTCTCCCCCTCCCTACGTTTCGTAGGCTTCAAGTGGGCGGATCTCCCTCCTGGTCTTCTCCTAGATTGGCCGGGAGAACTCACCAATGGGGAGCTCTGAGAGGCGGACCTACAGCGCCACCAGCTAGAGGAAGACCAGCAAATTTCAAGTTGGCTGCGACGTGGGCTCCGCGTGGGGGAGGGGCAGCAGGTAAGGCTCGGTCCGGGTGGCCCTGACCTGGTTCTGTCCCACATCTCCCGAACTAGTTCACCAGGGCCAAGCTGCGAAATAGACAACGCTTTCCCGCAGCCTGTTGGATCTAGCCCCCTCTAGTTTCCTACTCTTCTTTCCCTTTCTCTCCAGGGCTCCCATTGCTGGACTGATTATATACCAGAAAACTGCAGTTTTTCTTTTCGTGCATAGAGGAGAGAGATTAAAGCACAAAGTGAGGAATGCTCACTCTTGTATCTCTGACTCTTTGCTGTGGCATCAGCCTCCCTGGAATCTATTCCTGTTATTCCCTTGTCTAAGAGTCTGACAAACTCCTGTTATCCATCAGGACTTAGTTGAAATATTACCTCCTACCTGTAGCTTTCCTGGACTACATTCTCCTCCTCCTCCTCCTCCTTCTCCTCCTCCTCCTCCTCCTCCTCCTCCTCCTCCTCCTCCAACCCCTCCTCCTCCTCCTCCTTCTTCTTCTTCTCCTTCTCCTTCTTCTTTTTCTTCTTTTTTTTTCCCCTAAAGAATTAACCGTTCCCCAGTCTGACGATAGTGTTTTATGCATATCTCCGTTAGAGCCCTTAGTGGGCTCTCTAATGTTTCTGTTCTGAGAATATAAGGTTTTGTAAGCAGGTTCTTGTACTAATAGCAAGTGCCCAATAAAGGTTAATTGAATCGAATGGATTGGGAAAGCAGAATGTAAACTCCTAACGTAATTGGGGAACAAGTAATAAAAGACAAAATACAACACAATATCTAATTAAGATATCTTAAATTAGTGGCTTGTAATATAATTGCTCCCACAGTCAAGAAAAGGGAGAAAGCTAGGAGGAGTGGGACGGTAAGGGGAGACTTGATGAATCACAAGGTCTTAAGTTTGGAAGAGCTCTCAGAAATCATGTATTCATTCATTCAACAGATATTTATTGAGCACCTACTATATGCCAGACATATGCTAGACAATGGGGATCACAGTGAATCCTCTACTTTAGATGTGCATCCTTCCTCTGATAAACTGTATTCAGTAAATTGTTATCCAGCTTCTGTTTTAAAGAGGACTCCCTCTCTCACTTCGCAGGTCATTCCATTTTTGGATATTTGTTCCTCAGTTAATATCCAACAAATATTCTAGACAAATATATAGCTCAACGTAATGCATTCCTCACTTTCATTGTAAAAGAGAGGGACCTGTCCTGATTAAGAACATGGATTTGAATTCCAGTAGTATTCTTAAAAATAAAGAAAACCATCCCTTATGGTTTCTGATAAAAGAAGTAATATACATTTATTCTAGAAAATTTGGGAATACATTAAGGTGTAAATCAAAATGCCTATTGTTCTAGAATACTTGGAAATACATAAAGGTATAAGTCAAAATGCTTATTATTTAATGACCATGATCTAGTGATAACGATTATTATTACTTTAATATTTATCCTTTCAATTTCTTTTCTGCATACATATATATGTATATACGTGTGTGTGTATGTTACATAAAACAGGCTATACAACAAATACAATTTTATATCATGTTTTTCTCCATTTTATACTGTGAACATTTTTTTCCTTTTATTTTTTTTTAAAGATTTTATTTTTATTTATTTGAAACAGAGAGAGAGAGATCACAAGTATGCAGAGAGGCAGGCATAGAGAAAGAGAGGAGAAAGCAGGCTCCCCGCAGAGCAGAGAGCCCGATGCGGGCCTCGATCCCAGGACCCTGAGATCATGACCTGAGCCAAAGGCAGAGGCTTAACCCACTGAGCCACCCAGGCACCCATCTTTTTTCCTTTTAAATATTACTTGAAGTCATTTTTCTTTCTATATAATAGTCTAAAATGGATATTCGATTTTTTTTGACCATTCATTGTTCATTGGACCATTTAGGTTATTTCAGAAGTTTTGATCCCATGGATAGCTCTATAATGACCATCCTTGTATTTACAAATCTGATTATATATATGATGATTTCTTTGGGACAGATTTTTTTAAGTAGGGTTATTGGATTAAGGATATGAACATTTAAGAGGCTGTCGATTCAAATGACCAAATTGCTCCCCTGACAGACTGTGTATAAACACAATCCTTCCAATCAGGTATAAGAAGGTCCATGTCAAAAAAACTGGCAGCCTGACTATTTATTAAGTCTTTGTCAATTTGATAGGTGAAGAGTGGTTTTATTAACCATTCTTCTGTCAATTACCTATTCATGTCCTTTGCACATTTTTCTATTGGTATGATTTTTTTTCATTTGGATTTCCATGAGTTCATATAGTTCATATAGAACTATAGTTCATATAGTACTCATTTCCATGAGTGTGTGTGTATATATATATATATATATATATATATATATATATGGTTAACTCCTTGTCATATTAATGATAAATATAGCAAATCCTAAATATTAGAGTGCTCTAGGCCTCAGTCTCTGGATCTCTTCTTTTCTCTGTTCACATCTACCCCATTCGGCATTCCACCCAGTCTCATCGCTTGAAATATTTGTTATTGGTAACTCTATGAGAATGTAAGCTCCATTTCAAGTCCACGGGCATAGCAGTTTTTGTTTGTTTTGCTCACTGCTATATCCCTAGCACTTGGAATAGTGCCTGGCATATAGCAAGCACTTAGTGAATATTTGTTGACTGAATTAAGATGGTATTATTATTATTATTATTGTTCCCATTTGTAGATGAGGAAACAGGTTTAGAGATATTAAATTAATTGCTGGAGGTTGTGTAGCTGGAAATGACAGAACTGGAATTCAAATCCCTGTTCTTAACCACTACATGTACTGCCTTTCTGGAATTTGATGTAGTGGGTTTTCTGTATGTTTTGTTGAAACCTGCTTAATAATTTCCACCAGAATACAGTTACTACAGTGAGTATCATGTATATGAGATGTTGTTGGGAGAAGGAGAGTACAAGGATGACCTCTAGGGAGGGTTGACTATAAGGAAAAGCAGTTTGGGTCCAGATTATAGAATAACCTAAATATCCCCAAGAAGTTAGACTCAATCACAATCTTAAATAGAAGAGACACACTGTAGCTTCCTGACCTGAGTTTGGTAGAGATGGGCAGTTTATAGTTTTCCAATCACAAGTATATTGCCTCAGTTA